TTTCCTACTCCCTGGGTGACTCCCCTGGAGTCACTGCTGGAGTCACGAGCACGTGATGTCCTTGTTGTCCCAAAGGGTGTTGCTGATGTATCGAGGTACATACACACCAAACTTAAGTCCAACTCAGGGTGGATCATGCTCTTGCTCAGTGAGCATAATCGGGACTTCCTTTTCCTTCGATACCTGGGAACGCCAGTGTATACAGTGTTGCACGTGATCTGCTGACAGATAGATCTATTGGCTCTTGGTGGCCCATCTGTGTACCCGGTGGGGCACCACTGATTGGTGACGGGTAGGTCCGTAACAGCAGTGCGTAACAAATATATTTAAGTCAGTGGTATATGTCGAGATGTGTGGTGCCACCCTGAGATAGGTACAAATGCCTCAATGGTGCCACCCTGAGACAGAAAAACTACATGTGATGTTTAGTCAGCCTTTTCCGCACAGATTGTTTAGAAAGGCGCGAACCTTGTCATTCTTTAGAGAAAATTCAGAGTATTTTTTCATACCATTTCAGTGTTCTACAATCTCTTTCAGTATATCCTACTATTTATTATAAGTAAAAAACTACTTATAGATTCTACTTTATCTCTCACTCTGGGATATTTCTTATAGGTAGATCGAAAGAGAATTAGTAAAATTCTTATTTTATAAGCTTATATCACTAAATTCTATTAATCAAATCACTAAAAGACTTATTATATTATTCTAGGAATTTAAATCCGTCGATTGTAACTCAAGATAACCGTGCCAAGCGCCCAACCACCCATCCTGGGTAGTTGGGCGCTTGGCACGGTTAGGCGTTTAGCCATATTCCTACAACGTATAGGCGTGCCTACGGGTATACCTATAGACAAAGACACCTACAGCTAATCAGCTTATAATAGATAGTGGGTCTACACTTAATTTATGATCCATCAGATCTATATAAAAGCACCCCTTTTACTAGCAACCCCCGTTTCACACGATCGTAAGATACCTATTGTAAGTTCAGATCACTCACTCTCCCTTAGTCCTTACATTATCCCTTACATTACATTTCCTATATCCCAACCTAGTGCCTATACCGTAGGGCCTTCTTCACTTCCTCCGAGCTCCCAACAAGTCATTGTACATGTAATCAAATTACTTAAAAATACAGAGAAAAAATGCACAAACAATACATGTCACGAGGTCAAGAAATTCTGCTTACTAAAAAGGCCCACGGGCGCCCACCAAGGCCCGTGGGCAGTGCCCACCCGCCCGTCCATGGGCGATGTCGCAGTCTAGTCTGTTATGACGCGCTGCCCCAAGACAGTCCTTCGAAATATTCTTCATTTTTCATCGTCAAGTGCCTCCCGATTTTCTGCTTTATTATCACGTCCGCTGCCCATTTTCCGTCCTTGGAAGCCTAAGGCTTAACTCGTGCGACCGAGTGCCGTCTCTTACTCAACAAAAATGTCTCGTGATGAAGGAAATGTGCGCGGCTATCATTTTGAATAAAACTGGATTGACGGCGCGGAGTCACTAGAGAATTGTTGCCCAGGGGGTTATCATCCTATTATGATAGGGGATGTGCTTCGCGGGCGATACCGCATTGTTGACAAGCTAGGTTTCGGAGGTTATTCAACTGTTTGGCTTGCCCTGGATACTTATCTGCACCGTTATGTTGCTGTTAAAAAGTTAGCATAGCAGATTTATCTCTGCATGAAACCAACATTCTCCGAGCTCTCGCAAGCCCAGGATATGATTCTATCCCCACCCCAGTAGATGAGTTTGAGCTCAATGGGCCCAATGGAACACATAGAAGCGTCTTTCAGTCGTCTTCTCCCTCTCGAAGTTACGAGGGCGCCATCAGGTGGCCTCACACTGGCTATTGCTTACATTCATTCACGGGGCTACATTCATGGAGATGAGTGATGATGGTGATTGAGTTTATTAGTGTCCCTGTTTGTACTTAATCGCTAATCTTCATGGGTCTTCTTATCAAACATCCATCTCCGCAACATCCTACTTTAACTGCCATCCGATTTCGATCACCTTTCAGTTGAGCAGTTATATGAAGAGTATGGCGAGCCTGAGACGGTCTCTATTACACTACGTGATGGGAAGCAACTTCTACCAAATGTCCCAACAAAGGCAGTGATACCACTTTATCTTGGGAAAGATGCAGAAGAGTTTTTACTGTCTAACACGCACGTCCTTAGTGACTTGGGCGAGGCATTTGCCCCAGACCTGGAAAGTCGCCGCGGTAAAGACTGTCACATACCATTAGCAATGCGACCTCCAGAAGCCCGATTTAAACCAGAGGCGCCTCTCTCATATTCAGCAGATATCTGGAGCTTGGCCACGGCAATCTAGGAGATTCTTGGCATCCAGGCGATTTTCAGCACAGAATTTGCCTCTGCAGATGAACTAATATCACAACAAATCGATGTACTGGGTCCCTTACCCTCAAGCTGGTGGATGCACTGGCGGGAGCGGAGCCAATTTTTTTTTGGCAATGACGGGCACCCAAAAGAGGGTCGCTATGTCTGGTCTGGAATTGAATTGGCTTTTGAGGAATGTGTACAGAAGTATCGACGAAAGCGTGGATGTGAGTTTGACAGGGAGGAAGCAACTGCCATTATTGATTTGATGCGTCGAATGTTGGCATTCAGGCCTGAAGAACGGCCAACAGTCAAGGAGGTCTTACAGTCGGAATGGATGGTTAAATGGGCATTACCTGACTTAAAGCGGAGTTCGCAGACGAAGTAAAGATAGACATCTATAATCAATTCACCTTTCCTTGCTGGCTACATCACGTATTTCACAAGCGAGCCGCCAAATCTACAAGTTGAATATAAATGCTTTCATCTCCACCACAACTCTATTAAGTTAATTTTCGTAAACTCTCTCTGGGCATCTATTAATTTTATGCCCTAGGTTTTTTACACCCACTATATAGTTGTGGGGGCCCGTACAACTGGTTGTGAAGCCGACGAAGGGCTACTCCGTATAATAGAATGCTAACAAGTCAGGCTAGCACCTGTCAACCGGCAAGAAATGGTAGTGGAGTGGAAATTATAGTTTTCTTTATACATCGACTAATTCTTTCCCATAAGAAGTCATCTATGGGATTCGATCCTTTGTGGATACTACCCCCAGAATATAAGTGTAATAATATTGGCTTCTGTTATGCTTCTATAGCCTATGGCAACATGGATGATGCTATCCTTACCCTTGGGTGTATGAAAGGATTTCCTACAGAAGGAATTCCAACAACACAAGGCATCAAGTGGAGCCTTAGGTTGCAAAGGAAGGATATCCTTTATAGCTATATGTATTTCACCGGTACTATCTAAGGGATCCTCGGGAGAAGACAGCGCGTATTCATAAGAGGCCTAGATTTCGATTTGAATAGGCTTGTATTCTATGGTTTTGTGCATGCTATGATAAGGTATCAAGGCCATAATGAGGCTAAGCTCGTTCAAAGTCATCACTGTGCGGGCTCTTAGGGTCCAGAGGCCCCTGCGTCATGTTGAAGGCTCCGGCATCCAGCTGCACAGGAGGCCCAATCAAAGACCGGCGATGGTGGCGCATGTCAAGCTTCTCGCTAGTCTCTTCAGTGCCCAGGGGGTCATCAGTAGCCGGTTCGTCTCCGGCATCGAATCCCCTCGCTTCAAGATATTCGACCCTGACAGCATGGCGCAGATTATCAATGAAGCTCTGCATCTCAGGCATTGGGAATACCCCATCAGCCTGCAGCACGTCAGCATACAGACGCTCGGCTTCCTCCAGACAGGATGAAGCTAGGGTTGGTTGGCCAGCTTTGAGCCATTGGTCGGCAGCAAGGATGCTCCACATGCCAGCTTTTCGGCGGCGTCCGCCCCAATTTACTGCTCCGACTGGTGTCTTTGAGGCATAGCAAGCTGCTACCCTTTCAGTGTATAATATGTGACCCACTGAGCCCACAAGACCAAAGTCCATGACCCGCATGGCCCATTTGGCTGCGCTCTCTGTGGCTGACCCGCCACGACATTTGAGAAGTTCAACCGCTAGAGATAAACAGCGAAGTGCGTGCGGCGCATCTGAACAACGTGTGAGATAGGAGTAGCAAGCAGTCTCGAACATTTGGTCGACGCTCTCAAGCTTGATTTTGGTTGATGTGGCCATTGGATTTAGAAGCATGCTAACAGCGCACATTTCGTGGGCACCAGCATGATACTTCCAGGCCTTGTCGTTACCGTAATCCGATCGAATCATGTCATATGTGGATGCGGCTAGCTTCCAGTCGCGGAGCATGAACGCATAGTCCGCCATCTTCCGCAAGATAGCCTCCGGAGTGTCTGGACTGTAAGAATGTTTTATGTAATCGTAGTTCCCGCTGTTACCACCCGATGAGCCTCCAATGCTTGAACGCGAGCTTGAACCAAAGCCAGCCCATCGCCGAGACATCGACATAAATCTGCCACTAATACCACGCCTCCGAGATGCAACTTGGTCGTTCCACACAGCTACTTTATTTTCCATAAATGGAATGACCGACTGAACCACGAGTTCTCGGATAAATGCCCCAATCGCAGTAGCATCGGAGTCGAAGAGATATGGTGTGCCATCAGTGCCGAGGTCAACCAAAGCTTCTAGCGGGAAGTTAGCTTATGTCTGAGTACACAACAGCGAAAACTTGCCTGCTTCGCCTGCTCCCGACAGATGTTCTGACGGAGAAAGCCATTCGCACCGAGGAACTTGCAAACTATCATCATCTGTCACCACACACTGGCTGCTCCGAAGTCTTAAAAGATGACAGTGTAGCCCAAAATGCCGCTTCATCTGATCGTAAAGCCTGATAGATTCAGCGATATCGTCTCGTTCTTCGTCATGAACTAAAACGTAATACCGAAGATACTCCTGGTTGATCCAGTCGGGTAGCTGTTTGTCCCCAGTGATACCATCGGCATAGAGCTGCCTGAGTGTCTCCAAGGGAGCTGCGTTGCGCGAACTGATGGCTATAACATTGGCTACTGGGTGGCCAAATGTCTCGTGGGGGGCTGTAGGTGCCGAACATAGCAGTTGCTGCAAAAACGACTTGCCTAATGGGGTCGTAGCAGGGAATCTCAAAGAATCCTTTGTCCGTACCGATGCACCAAGCATGCCATCTGAAGAGTTTAAATGCTTGGTCAACACTTCTTCCATCTGCACCAGAGGCCCAGAGTCTCGACTAGCCGGAGCCCTGCCGATCCCTTTGAATTCGGCAAAGCGCACTCCGTAGTCCTCCCAGGCACGACTTGAGCCTATACTGTCCCGGATTACCACCTTCCCGGTAACTGTTTCTCCAAAGGGCCGAATCAACTCCCAAAACCCCCCCTTGAACCCCTTGCTCCTCACCAAATCATCAGTGTCCTCGGAGGCATAGACTGCAATCACGGGTGAGAAGGACCGGACAATTGAAGATCTTATTTCTTCCGAGCCATCAGACCTTCCATCAAATCGAGAACCGATTGACGACCTCGCTAACTGTGGAGTGGAAGATCTCCCATAGCGCGAGTGCGATGAGTCAGGTCGTCTTGGTAAGTCGGCGATCGTGCCTGAAAGAGGGGTCGGAAATGAGACTGATTGGGATTCTGCCAGTTCAGCATCTAAAGTTTGAGTGGTATCATGCTCCCCGGGGTATCGTGATGGTGATGTTGATGCGACTCGCGCAACGCCGGGGGAGAAGGACGGCGGAGGTTTGACCAGAGCAGCATCTCCGGGCAATGTCATGGGCGGACACCTGCTGCTTTGTGCAGATTTAAAGCTTTTTTTGTTGATCGACAGGCCCCATCGACTAGTAGATGAGGTCGCACGAGGTGTGATAGAGCAAGTGGGATGCGGCTTCACGGAGGTGTTGTTGGGAGAAAGCCAAGTCAACCGATTCGGGCTGATAAGCACTGACACGGGCGACAACAAAAATAGGGCAACAGTAGCCGTGAACTGGTTGAGCACTATAACCTTTTAAAGAGGTTGAGGGTCGCTCTGTCAGTTTCAAACGCAATACAAAGTCCTCGTGTAGAGGCTGATTGTCGATCTCGAAGTGGTGATGCAAACCACGTGAGGGCCATGCTTATCGACAATCAAACTGACTCACTTTCTCAGAGCATTTGACCTGGCTATGTTCAATGAAGTTGTACCCTTTCGTGTGTTTATTTAAGGCTTCTGGTCTCTCTTCATTCAAAGCTCCACTTGCCCGCACTCTAGCGAGAAGAGCTGGTCAGATACGCTCGTTTCAACAACATCTCCCCCTCCGAACCTACCCTGCATCTGTACCTTGTCGCACTTCCATGCGCAACCCCGAATTGGAACCGGACTTCTCAGAACGAGCCAGCAAAAGGCGACGCCTTTCTTCCCCGACGCAGGAAGGCTCATATGCAACCATGAGCCCCGCCATGCCTACTATCGAGCTCACTCCGCTTGAGAGCACCCTACGAACCCTACTTCTCGATGTCGCACAATACATCACCGAGCAGCAAACCACCAAGGAAGGTATTGCTGTGAATGATCACTCCGAGACTGTCTTGCGCTTCACAGGTGGGTGGGTCAGGGACAAGCTGCTCGGAATAGGGAGCCATGATGTCGACGTGGGCATCAGCAACATGACGGGATATCAGTTTGGTATGGCCCTGAAGGACTATCTGGATATTCCAGAGAATCTTGAAAAATACAAAAAAGGTCCGAATGGGGAAATGCACGACGCCATTGTGAGCCTTCACAAGATCGAGGCCAACCCAGAAAAGTCAAAGCACCTCGAGACCGTCACAACCAAGATCTTCGGCCTGGATATTGATTTGGTCAATCTGCGCAAGGAAACATACACAGATGACAGTCGAAATCCTCAGATGGAGTTCGGTACCGCTGTCGAAGACGCTCTGAGACGCGATGCAACTATCAATGCGCTTTTCTACAATCTTAATGAGTCACGGCTCGAGGATCTCACTGAGAGAGGATTGGACGACATGAAGAAAAACACTATTCGATGCCCGATGGAACCATACCAAACTTTCAAAGATGACCCACTGCGTGTGCTTCGATTGATCCGCTTCGCGAGTAGACTGGGGTACCGAATTGAGCCCGAAACTGAAGCTGCTATGCAGATTGAAGATATTCGTGAGGCATTGAAGCTCAAAATCAGTAAAGAGCGAGTGGGAGCCGAGCTGGAAAAGATGTTGCGTGGTGAGTGATTGCGCTTGTCCGGTACTTTGCATTTCTGACAAGACATTTATCCCAGGCTCCGACCCTCGCGGTGCATTGCAGTTCATTGATCGTCTCCAACTGTTTCCCACTATATTCGCTAATCATCAGGACGACGTCAAGGCTGATACATCGACATGGCCCCTTGCCTACAATACTTTGGCACGATTGCTGCATCCAGAGGCTGGTGACAGCGAAGAACTTCGGACAGTTACTAAGCGCCTTCGTGAAATCTTATTCCGCGACGAAACTACCATATACTATGCCTGGATGATTGCAACCTTCGCTCCTTGGACTTCGATCCCTGGCCGTGCCGGGAAAGGAACCAAACCTGTGCCCCCGCGAGCAGTTGAGGTTGGCAGGGACAGCCTTCGCAGTGATAACAAGACCCTCAATGCGCTCCGCGCTGCTGCTCTGCATTACAAGGACACAATTGCGATCAAGACATGTCTTCTCGCCAACGAATTGAGTGGAACACCGGCGGAAATTCGACAACGCATTGGGTTGCAAATGCGGTCGTGGAATAAGGACTGGAAGCTTTGTATTCTCCTGGCCATCCTGCAAGAAAACATGGCGCTCCGTGACTTTGCAGAAGGTAAAACCCATCCCTTGATGATAATCTCCCCATTCTTACGATTTGTAGTGGCCCGTGAATACGACCAGTTCCTTGCGTATATTGTAGAAAACGATCTGGAGGGTGTTTGTGATCTCAAGCCCATTGTAAATGGCGACGAAATTATGAAAAGTCTGGGGGCCAAAAAGGGACCTTGGATGTCCAAGGCAGTTAACATGGCTCTGGAATGGCAACTTCTTCATCCTGATAGCACCGACAAGGAAAAGGTGCTGGAAGAGATTGCGGGTCGACGAGCAGAATTGATGTGACGTCCCAGATGAAGATCCCGATGACAAATGAAAACCACATTCGCGGACTTAAAACTACTTCACTCCGACTGTTTACAACTTCTTTTCTATTTTTCTTGTAAATATCTCCGCAATGGATAAACTGCGTAAGGAAGCCCGCGAGGCTCTTGAGCAGAACCCTGGCAAAATGCCAATCACTTTCTTCCCCGCCGTTGCAGCGTCTAAATGTGATTTGAGTCAATTATGGCAAGACGTTGCTACTTACGATCACTCGACACATTTGAATGTATGTTTATGTCAATTCAGCCAAGGCAGATGAACTGATTTTTTTCAGATTTGCGAGAGCCTCGTCACTGTAACCAGTTATATTGACTACTGGGATGGGATGCTGCCAAATGACCAAGGCCCGCGGCCATTGAAACCAGCTGAGGCTAAAGCCGTAAACAATTTATTCGACTGGGCCAGTGCTGCTGCACTACCTTCGTCGGATTTCGCAGTTGGTTTTGATGAGACTGCCGAGATTTCAGACGGCAAGTGCTCTTACAGACATGTAAAAGCTTTTACTAACTGTGCTACACAGAAATGATCAAAGCCCAGAACGAGAGTCGATTTAGATCTGAGCTCGCTCTGGAGCTGATTCTAGTTTTAAATAAACCCTTGGCAGGACTGCCAAATGGCCAACTAGACAATGCAGCGGATGTCCTTCTCGCGGGGGCATGTTTTGCCAACAAGCAAACCCCATGGGCCACAGCAGACAGCTACAATGCGGCATCGATGCTCATGAACGTGTGGGTTCAGAACACTCGTCACAGTGATACATTCTGGCCTGTCATCGACTTCATCCTCAGGGAAAGAATTAGGCCTCTTTTTGCAAAGACCAAGAATCCCGCCATCACCAGTGCCGGCCGCAAGAACTTCCACCCTCGAACTCTACCTCGCTTCGGCGCAAGCGATCTAGACACATCGGCCAAACCTTGGAAGACCACCGATGTATATGTCGCAGCTGTGCTGTCATGGATGCTCTCTCAATACCAACCCGAGGACAAGACACATTTCGAAGCGCACTTCCAGCTTTTTGTGCCTACTATTCTAGCAATGGTTGATGACAACAATCTCCCGTTCAAAACTGAAGGATGTGTCCTACTCACTCAACTACTGCGACCGATCCAAGAAAGTGGCTCGGACATCCTCCAACGAACCAACCTCACCTCCGTCTTCGAAGACGCCGTCACCCCTTGTCTTCTTTCCCTGCCATCCATCACACCCGAGGATAGATCCCTCGAGCTACTAGGAGCAGCATACCCGGCCCTCCTCTCCACCCTCAAAACCGCCTACCAAGGCCCCACTCAATCCGAAAAGAATAAAAAGGCCTACACCACCAGCCTGGCCAAAATCCTCCGATCAAACCTCATCTCCTCATTCCACCACGTCAGCTCCAGCACTCCAGCCTCTGGCTCAACAGCCTCCTTCCCACATCCCCGCCTCTCCACCTTCCTCCTAGAAAAGATTACAGTCATTGTCGCCGAGCTGGGAATCCATGCCACAAAGTACCTCCAAGAACTCATCCCAATCCTCTATAGCACACTATCAAACCCCTTCGGAACAGCATACCCTCCACTGCTGCTTGCCGCAGCAGTAGCTACACAAGCGGTGATCAAGAGCGCACACCCACGGATCTGGCGCTGGCGCGGTGAAATCCTAAGCGGGCTGAGTTCGTGCTGGCTTCATGCTGCCGATGACAGCGGGGATTCCGTGGCTGAACTAGCCAAGCTGAAGTGCGAGTTGCAGCAGACGCTTCAGATTTTGAAGCTTGTTTTGCTGAATCCGATTGCTATTGCGGCCGATGTCCCAGAGCCGGAACAGGTGCAGGTGAAGGAAAATGTGGAGAAAGAGTTCCAGGAGCTTGTTGATGCGGATGCAGAGCTTAAGGGTCTTTTTATTTGAGCGTTGTGGGCATTGTGTTGTGTGTCTGGGAGGGGCGGGCTTGTTTAAAAACAAGTTGCAAGAAGTATGAGAAGCTTAGTTGGAGATATCTGTATGGTGGATTCAAATCAAAACTTACTCTCGGGACGATCTATAGAACCCTAAATCAAGTAAAATTACATGCAATGAGGGTATCATTTTGCTGGGCTAAACGCTGAAACAAAAAGAAAATGGGGTTTCAAGTTCGTAGCATCATGGATCAACTCGCTGCTTGAAAAGGCTCTTCCCGCGCAACCATTGACGGTACCGTTTGTACCTCTTCTTCTCATAATCCTCGCCCACGACAGTAAGACCATCCTCAGAGACATCCAGGAACTCAGCATAAGCAAGCATGTTTATCCCAGCCCTTGCTTCCAACGCAGATTCCTCGACATTGCACTTGTTCGCGTACTCCAGGAGATCGAGATTATAGCCATGGTCTTGCAACGACGACGCAGTCATTTCATCTTCAGATGTGACGACAAGCGGAACCTTAAGCGGGTGGTTGATGTACCGCTCGTATTCTTCTGCCTCGGCACTGGTGACAGAGGGGCTCAGCGAGTCACTGACTAGCTGGCCAAGGGTCCATTGAGCAATTTCCGCTTTGCTGGGGGTGGATTGGGCGTTGGGGGGATTGATTGGTGGGATGCGAGATAAATCAAGGATTTTGAAAGCGGGCTCTTTGATGATGCCCGTAAGAGGGGGTTGTTTCTCAGATGAGGGTGGTTGGTGAGCCCATGTGTGTGGGGATTCGGGCAGCGTTGTCGTGCTTGATGAGGCGCGACTGCGGCTGATGGATGGCTCCTGGATTTTGACGGTGCGCTGTGGTATGCGTTCGCGTTGGATTTGCTCTTGGGGGATGCGAGGCACAAAGGGACTGAGATCGGGGACTGGGTGTCCTGGGCGAACTGGGGGTAGGTATCGGGACGTGGAGTTCATTTTCAAGGAAAAGACTTTGGAGAGGGAAGAGAGAGCAAGTGGTCGGTAGTATTCCAGCCAGAAGTCATCAAAATGTGACAGTGATGCTCTAGGATGGAATGGGAGGGGTGGGAATTCCCTGGACTCTAAATATTCTGGTGTGTACCAGGTGATATAGCTGGGTTTCTTTCTGTCAAGGTGGGATTTGGGATCGGTGTGGTGGAGATAGTAATCCGATGGAAGATCCCAGAGCATTGGAATGCCTTGTGCAAAGGCATAGTTTCCAAGAAAGAGGTTATACGCCTCTTGGCGCTGGGCATCAAGGAAAGAGTTGTTGTAATACCGCTTGAAGCTTTCCACCATGTCACGAGATTGGCTGCTCCATTGATTGATCTTGCGGTAGGTAGCCATGGTGTTCACCAAATGCGATCCGCCGTACTGAATAGCGATAGTGTCTCCATGGTCATGCCACATGTTCGTGAACAGATTGACAGCGTCAGTATCATATTCTACAGTTGTGTCATCTATGACACCAAGAGCATGGAGCTGATAGCCAAGTGCCCTCTTGCCAATGACAAACTGTGCAGCATTTGTTCGGTCAAGGCAATCAATGCAGTTGGTCCTTGCGATGCCGTTCTGAAGCTGCAAGCCGGATTCTGCGTCATCTCCATTCTTGAAAAAACCTGTTTGGGGAATGATGCTGCCTGCAATACCTTCTAATGTCTCAATAACATCCTGATCCCGGCTTTTTGCAGCACGGCTCATGTCCCACGCCTCGTAGATGAGCTTTTTGTCTTCAGGAAGAAATTGATTCAAATAAGTCACAGCGTTTGTGAACTCTTTGAGTAGTTTTGACTCTCTTGGGGTTCGTTCGCGAGATTTCACCAAGTTCAGAACATAGACCGGAGCGCCATATCTTCGAAATAGATCATCGAAATGTAATGCCGCAGCCGAGTAGAATGGATCCACGAGATTAAGCTCAATATCCGGTTTTGGTGATACTCCCGTGTTTTCTTGAGTCCAATGAAGAGGAATGCTCCCACGATGTTGAACATAGGAAGTATAGTGAGGGTTGGCATGAAGTCTTGGGCCAGCAGAGTGGAATGATGTTGTTATTTGTTCGCATACAATCTGTTCGGTCTCCACATCGTTGGCCACGTATCCCAGGTCGTTCGCGCCTCGCTTGAGGAAGCGCGCCCCAGCAAAGAATCGGGATCGACGCGCAATGATTGTGATGTAGACCACTCTTCCATAGACACTCATCTTTGACTGATCCACGTATCCATGAATGATAGGTAGACACCACTCGTACGGATTCTTGAGGGTCTCGGCAGCCGGGGAAAGGAGATGATGGTTCCAAATGAACATGGACTGGTAATCATTTGACGACGGTTGTGGATGGCCATCCTGATGAGCCTTGCGATCCCGGCAGATATTGTGCTGAAGTGTGCGAGTAATGTCGTAGGAGTAGCTGAAATAGAAAGAGCGCGACAGGTCCAGATTATTCAAAATTGCAATATATCGTGCCTCCTCCGAATGCTTCTCAGTTTTCAAATGCGAAGGTTCCGAGGTGGTCAATGGGATCAATTCAGTTTCGTCGATCTGATACACATTGTGACCACCCAGCATGGCAACCTGGCTCCTCTTGGTAACGAGTAGCATGTAGTGCACACTCGTGAATCGGATGAAACCAAGCAATGCCCATGCACTGCACTTCTGGTTCAACCCGCCAGAGCTCTTGTTGCCGTCGTCGATTGCATCCAGCAACTGAACCATCTCTCGTTTGTTGTACACCATGTCATCTTCGGTAATACCCAACTCGCCGGAATCTGAAGTCCGATCAATTTTCAGAATCCGAAAACGAGTCTCGGCAAGATTTATCCCAACGATATAGAATCTAGTCGCGGTTTCGTACAGCGTATATTTGTGCATGCGGTTGATCCCTTCATCCTCCGAATCTGAAGCTGATTGGTGTTTCTGTGCAAACTTCGGCGAAGCCTCTCGCTCAAAGGAGGTTGCAACCTGTGGCTCCTCATCTTCCCCATCCCCTTCCTCTTCCTCCTCAATCCGAGCTCCCGATGGATTGTACGGCAACGGGAATTCCGCCATGACCGAGGCACCATCAATCATTCCAGTATCATCAGTGCGCTCTTTTTGTGAAGACAATCTCAGGCTTGTCGTTTTGGTAGTTGGTCCCCCTGTGCTTTCTTGTTTCGCCAAATTCGGATCTGAAGGGCCGGATGGAATCGGGGGATGCTCATCATGGAAAGGTGTGTCCTGGGACACTATTCCAATGAGAGACACATCATCAAAGCTCTCCATAGCTCAAGAGGCTTAAATCGACAGAAAATGAAGCTGGAAAGGCTGCATATTCAGATGGTTTCGGGTCAAAAGGCGATATTTGAAGTTCAAAGAGGGAGGTCCCCACACATGACGTCGTAGTAAATAGCGGCCAATTGATCATTCAGGCCTTTGAGAACTAGGTACGGAGTAGTTAGATCGGTTTGGTTTTATTTGTCTCGTTCCTTGCCCATAACTGTGGATAAGCCCCACCAGCTCTAAAGAAACAGTTTTCAACAAATCTAACCCCATATTGTACCCTTCATGTGGTCTTATACTGTACGATCCCTGCAGAGGCAGATTAGTCCACTGCAGGTACCTCGAATGGCGAATCACCTATGGTAATTTATGTCTAAGCGATGTTCTTGAGTCTGGCAAAGCTCCTTCTGCCACGACCATGCCCCATTGACATAGTTCTCGGTGCGAAAAGAGAAACATTCGTCACACCGCTACGGCAAAGCCATCTCACAGCTAACTCTGATTCGGGATGTTCAAAGTACGTTGTAATGACAGAAATCGATGGGTACAATAAAGCATGGTATCAATGAATATACATCATTCTCTAAGATAAAAACCTGCTCTATATCAAATGCAGATTAAGCTAACTGAACATTAGATGCAATTGAGATACTCCGTACAACATACAACATACAGCGCGCCGTTATGCGCGGACCGAGTATTTTCCGGGGTTATATGTCCTGTTTTCAACGTATTGTAACGTGGTATTCGACATACAACTATCCATTTAACACAGCTTAGATGGGTTAAAGACAGATTCCATGAATTGCAAATTACCGTTATATGTCTCTTTTCTTTTAAGCTTCTAAACGTGCAATTGATTCCGTTTATCGTTTCGCAGCTTGTACCTTTGCCTCGTCTTGCTCTCACTGTCCTATCGCCAAGTCCTTGAGGAACTAGTAGCCTGCTGATGGGAAACTAATCCAATTCAGTGGCTCTCCTCTCCAGGATGTTGTCACCAAGAATAGCATCAACGCCCAGCAGTGGTGAGGTACGATAGAAGTACGGAGTACAACAAAGTCTGCAATTCAACTGTAGGCGGTGAGTTGACCTGTTAACCTTTGAGAAATGGATCAGAATCGAAAAGGGTTCTTTGCAAATGTCCGATACGCTGGGACTTGAAACATCCAATCCAAAACTTCTGAAGTTTCTCGCCAAAAGGTGCCAACGTTCATCTGTCCTCAACGGATAAGGATGACACGCAAGATGTTAAGATTGTAGAGCAAGGCGCGTAGTCTTGGAACCGGCACCTAGCAGAAATAGAGTACCAAAAAGCTGCACCAAATCAGAGGACCGAAAGTCGAAAACTTCTGTGAACGCTTATATACAGTACTTGAAGGTTCATTGAAAAGAGGATGTCCCCGGTCCCCACATAGCATCGCTGCGGTAGGTAGTGGTCGACCCGTCATAAGAGGTTTTGTGAACATAGGGGATTGGGGGTGGAGGCCTTTTCGGGATATACCTTATTTAGAAGCCGTAGACGGTGTTCCAAATGGGGCTGAGAGGGCGGGGAACAAGAGTTCTCTTATTGCGTCGTAGCAAAGTTGCACCCTCTTTCAGACTCCAATCGAAAGCAGTGGTGAACAATGTGTGCTTAGCAATTAACGTATAGAAAATGGGGACTATGTAAGGCCAAATCAAACCAATACCCTCCTCAATCCCTCAGTGCCCCCAAGCACTCTCCTCCCTGTGACAGGACACCTCCCCTTACCACTCTCCCATTTGCCAGATCGTTTGCGGGCACCTGTTTCAGCGTCGCCTCCGCTAGGACTTTGCTTTGCCTCTTCATCATCGCCTATGATCTCTTCTTCCCAAGGTGCGCCAGCACCCTCGCCGGTCATGAAGTCCAGTTGGCGCTGGTGCTCACCGTTCAACCAGTGGAAGATGCACACATAACAGAACACGTACCCCGTCTGGCAAGCGGTCGGGTTAACGAGCGCACCCATACAGACAGGGCAAGTATTTGCACTAGAGGGGTCAGCTGGGGGCAAAGACACTGTGTAGATAGGGAGATAAGAGGTCGCGGAGATGGGGGATTGATGGCGACGGGGAGGCTTAAGTGCTGGTTTAAGATCACCAACAACGCTCTTGATCTCCTGCTCGGCCTGCCTCTTGGCCTTTTCTTTCTCGTCTTGGATTGACAAATTCCGTCGTTCCGCGGGAGAAGTCAAGCCCGCCACAACGGGGGCGGGCAGATCTAAAACCTCAGTTGCCTTGCGGGCGAGCTGACGAGAGAAGTCACTTGCATGCCACCATTCTAGGAATTTCAGGGCGAAGATCGAGGCGGGAAGGAAGTAGCGCAGCGAACTCAGAAGCTGAGTTTGGAAATTCTGGGGACTAAGAAGACCCAGAAGACCCCCGCCGGGTCGCCGGGATCGCCCGGTACCGGGACCGAGCTTGGGATCTAGCACTGCGGCGATGGCGCGATGGTCTGCGGTGCCAAGGCGGCGGATGCGCGTGCCGATAAGCCACAGAAACGGGGAGGAATACTTCGTGTTGTCGAAGAGGTAGGCGAGGTTGAACGCCAGGACGGAAAAATAGTATGCCGCATTCACAGATGGGTATACATTGCGCAGGAACCACTTGTAGTAGAAGAAGATGCGCTGGCGCAGCGACGGGTTGGCCGGCAGGTCGTCGCTGGGATTATATCGTGGGCCGCCACTGGTGACCAGGGATGCATGTGGCGCGGCATGGATATCGTATCCTTCGTCTAACTTGCGTTTTAAGTAAGGAATGCCGACCATGGCGAACAAGTTCTTCCAGATGTCCCTCGAGTGTAGCTTAAGGGCCTCGCGCACGGGGCCTGCGGCGCCGACCTGGGCGCGCGGGATCTCGCCATTCTTGGTGCGGAGAACGCGCTCACGTTTCAGGGAATAGAAGTTTTCTGTAAAGGAGCCGCCGAATGTTCGCAGGTAATATCGTTCGACTATTAATGAAAGGAGGGCGTAGACTTCGTCGTAGGAGTTGAGGATCCGGAGGAGGTAGCGCGGATGGCGATGTGTTGCGACTGCGAGAAGATAACGCAAAGATGGAGGAAGAAGATCCGAGAGCTGTTGCTCGGCGAGAAGTTCTGTTGTCGAGGGTCATCTCCACGTTAGCGATTCCAGTCTCATATATGGGGGGGTTATCCGCATCTGGGGTCTCTATCAACGCGGGGAAGCATTAATTGACTTACCGAAGAGCGATGGCTTGTGCTCGTCGAACTCCTGTTGAAGACTAGGAAGGTACTCCATTGTCAGAAGTACCAGTCATCCTTATCAGGGTGGCGTTGAAGGTGTTTGAAGAGGGATGGAGAGGAAGAGTTGCCGGAACCAGTCATCATATGCCGAGGCTCAGAGCTGACAACGTCACTCCGGGCACCTGATATATCCATGCCCTTCCTACCGTACTATCGTCAGAGATCTGATCACCACTACTTGAATATTCAACATTAAGATACGCATGTAATATTGTACACTGGAGAGTTTATGCTAGATTGTTTTACAAGTTGATCTCTTGTCGTTAAATTTTCCCGAACATGTGCTTCCTGGCATTCAGTCCAGAGCGGAATATAGAAACTTGGAGACACTCCTTCATCTCGGTTGTGGAGTGTCGGGTCTGCCACTAAAATACACTGCATGATGGCTGTTACGATCGGGCCCTGTAGCACAATGGCAAGGGACTCTCGATTCATCAATGCCACCCCCGTTGACAGACACTTGCACGCTCGCACTTCCTCGCCCAGTTCGGCATGCAACTTGAACAGCCGTACGTAATCCTCTTGTGTGCAGTTAGTACCTTTCAAGGGAAGCTGGCGCCACAGTCGCCAGAATCCGTCATTATCCCCACATTGAAAAGTGTCAACATAAGCTGACGCGCATCTACTGCGTCAAATGGAACCTTGGCCGCCGCGAGTATCTTGGACAGTCGAGACAAGATTCGTTTCTGAGACTCAGTCCGTTGAACCGCAGACAAACTTGGAAAACTCTCTTCCGGATGCAGTTCGTCTAGGCTCGAAGGTGCTGGATTTGGTACACAGACTGCTTGATAGAGCATATAGAAAATTTTCATGTTCAAAATCGGCACACCACGCACGCTCAAACGATCCAGCACTAACAAAGCAAGCTCCATGCCAGCCTCTGAAGAGCAAATCTCAGACTGCTCGGTGATAACGCCCACTGTTCTCGGTGTTAGAAGCGCAGAAACAATATCGAATCCAAGGTCATCGGGAAGGTCATACCCGTCGCGAAGAAAATTCGAGAATGTGCCAAAAAGGGCGTTCTTGGTGTAAGCTGGGTGTTGGCGAGATACAGCTATGGAAAACAATTGCAATCGAAAAGTGGCTTTCTCCTGTGCAGAAAACCGTGCGGCGTAATTGGTATAGAAAAGTCGCAGAAAAAGAGTGGACTGGCGATCATTTGGGCCGCTCCCAAGCTCATTTCGTGCACTATCGGCCGGAAGTTCAGCGAGAATCTGAAGCAAAGATGTCGGTGTCAATTGTAATGTAACTGCAGCTGCGCTGCCTGGAAGTGTAGAAGACGAAGTTCTTATGCCAGGGAAACTAGCATTTAAACCAGACTCGGTAGAGTTCATGGCAGGTAGTGCGAGCCTACGCATGGTATGAAAGCCTCTCCTTTGGCCAGGAATGGAGCCAAATCCATCTGACATGGATCTGGGGGGCGCAGCACCAGTCTCGGATAAATCCTCTATGCTCTCCCGAATATTCTTGCGTCCTTCACGAGCCAAAGTAGCCTCCCAGAGGCCATCAAGGTCGACATCAGCCCGTTTCTCCTCGGTGAAGATCTGGACAACCACACTAGTCCCAAGGTCAAGATTACCGAATCCCTCAATTCCAACATCGCTCAACTGAGTCGTAGTAGCGCCTTTATCCACCGTACCCGCATTTACACAAATCCATCCTGTGGTAATTCCATCATCCTTTTCGTCGATCATTGCGCCTGCTGCACTCGCGGCTCGCGCTCGTTTGGCTTTACGGCGCAGTTTTATTTTCAACTCGTTGCGACCAAGTAAGCCGTCAGCGTAGGGAGACAATTTGTATTGACTTCTCAACCAGCGACAGAGACGATCCGCAGACACGTTCAAATGTTTTACACTGCGAGCAGTTCCGATGATCATGATGACATTAGCACCGAGAGCTGCAGGGATTTCGAGGCCGCGTAGGTCAAAAAGCTTGAGACCATCCAAGCCCAAATCCTTATATGCATACTCTAGCAGTGTCGGGAGCATCTCTGGCGAGTCGTCTGGGATCTGGGGAAGATGGGCTTCGGTCATCGAGCGCTCTTTATTGACGGGCGCCTCTTCCTGCAGATACCAGGGGATATGCTGTGATGAGGCTAGCGTATTGGATTTCGACTGCGCTAGTGGCTCTTCTGGTGCAGAAAGATGAATATCAAGCTGGTTCGAAGTTGGAGGGCGATCAGACCGCAGCAAAGTTACAGCGGAGAAAGCTCTAGGGTTGGAGATTGAACGGGAGGAAAGTGGAAAGGACCGTGGCATTGGGATGCCAGAGACAGAAACAAAGGACCGCAGCACCTCATGCCGACAAGTCTGGCAGGTAGCCCCTCTTAAGAGAGCCCTGCTCATGGTGATGGTTATGTTGGAAAAAGAAATGTGGATCTTGAATTGTTCCAACAGACAAGTTCCAAGCATGATTTGCTTCGATATCAGATAACGGAGGCAAACACTGCAAACAGCTGAGTCATCAGAAAAAAAAGATTCGGGTGGGGGACGATTATCACAAATCCAAGGCGTTGGAAACTCTTTTAGTATTTTTTCAGTGTTTGGCTCTTTTTCCTGGGTCTACTCATCAGTATGTCGATGGATCTTGATGAACCCGTCTATTTCGCGCAGCAGGAGAAAGTCGCAGCCACGTGAGTTCTTATCGCAACTTTTTTTTCTACACATCCAACCCCGCTGGGGCAATCTTCCATACTCGCTATACTGCAACCCTAGGTGCTAACTACTTAACTCAATCAGAATTCTCTGCTGCAACTGTGGCGCTGCTATCGATGGAACACTATCAGCTGGAGCCCTATGCTCGGACTGCATTCGTCTTACTGTCGATGTGGCCGGAGGTGTATGTATAACTCCATTTGTGGGCTTTGTCAAAAGAAGCTTTCCTAAATGTCCATAATTTGTTCCAGCTGACATGAACTCTTTCTGGCTTATAGGTGCAAAGAGAAGCCGTGATTCACTGCTGTAGGGATTGTGAACGGTGGCTACAGCCCCCCAACAGCTGGGTCGTCGCAGCTCTCGAGTCGAAGGAACTACTCGCCATTTGTCTACGCAAGCTCCGTGGCCTAAACAAAGTCCGAATCATCGATGCTAGCTTTATTTGGACGGAACCCCATAGCAAGCGACTGCGTTTGAAAATCACTATACAAAGTTAGTTCAAACCCCTACCGATGAAGGTCGCCGCAAGCATTCGGCAATTCAATACATCATCCGGCCGTGAGATAGAAGCTAACAACCCACAAGCGGAGGCCTTCCAAGGCACTATTGTACAACAGCAATTTGAGGTTGAATATGTTATTGCCAATCAGCAGTGTTCTGGGTATGTCAAAGTCCTCCCCAACCAATTGGCCTGAATCCAAGTGGGAAAATAGATACTAATAGCCCTAGATGTGCCAAGAGCTATACGCATCACTCATGGGAAGCATCAGTGCAAGTCCGGCAGAAGGTCCCTCACAAGCGGACATTTTTGTACCTGGAACAGCTTATTCTCAAGCACAATGCCCACAGGGATACTGTCAATATCAAGGAAGTACACGAGGGCCTTGATTTCTTCTTTTCAAAGAGGAATGAAGCCGAACGCATGCTTTCATTCTTAGAAAAGTTGGTGTCTCCCTTCCATCTACCAATAGGTGCAAGTTCACTGACAGCAATCCAGAAATATTCCGGTTAGATGCAAAAAATCCCACGAGCTGATCTCAATGGATATACACACAAGCGTTGCGAACTACAAGTTCAATTTTAGCGTTGAGATCATCCCTATCTGCAAGGACGATCTGGTTGCTTTACCGATTAAGCTGGCCCGCTCGTTGTCTGACATAAGCCCGCTCGCTATCTGTAACCGGGTAGGCACGTCTATCAATCTTTTGGACCCTTGCACCCTGCGGACAACCGATCTTCCTACTAGCACTTACTGGCGCCAGCCATTCCCGAATCTTGCGGATACCACCGAGCTGAGGGAATTTATCGTCTTAGACATTGAATCCACCGGCCACTCTAATGGTCGGTACCTCCTATCTGAGGCCACAGTTGCTCGTGCTTCGGATCTAGGATCCAACGATATCACCTATTTCACACGGACTCACCTCGGTGGTGTTCTACACGTGGGTGATTCTGTTCTCGGGTACCATTTGTCAGGAACCCAGTTCAACAATGATCAATTCGAAGCAATTGAGAACAGCAACCAGTACAGCTCAACAATTCCGGATGTGGTCCTTATCAAGAAGCACTATGTCCGCAGCAAGAAGTCCAAGGCCCGCAGCTGGCGTTTGAAGCGCATGGCTCGCGAGCACGAAGAGGAGGCGACTGCCGCTGTGGTCAACGTTCCCACAAGCAAGCGCCAGGAGCAGGAGCAGGCTAGGATGGAACAAGATTACGAAATGTTCTTGCGTGACGTTGAAGAAGATCAGGAACTGCGTCAAACCCTCGATCTGTACAAAAACCGCCAGTACCAGGTCAGGGCAGACCAGATGGATGAGGATGGTGATGATGACATGGACGAGGATGGACAAGCCTTGCCGAAAATCAACATGGATGAGCTGCTTGATGACTTTGATGAGTTGAACATGGAGGACAACGAGTAGCAATCCGAATGTTACCATTGATGATCATGGCACCGGTTGGCGTTTGTGTTTCTGGGTTTTCAATCAAAAAGTTCATGGTTTCAAACGATACGTGCAACGTACAGCATGGAGATGCCAAATTCTTATTCTAGGATGGAATGGATCAATTGCTTCAGATGAAAATGAATCACAACCAGAGCACGAAGCTGATTGGGATTCTGAAGATGAATGGGGAGTAGATTATAGGAGTACTGTAAATGTAAGTGGTAGTCTTGGGGACTGTGTCGGAGTTACCGTAGCCCGTCATTCTATCCTCAGCCAGTTTCACGACAATAAGAATTGATTAACATCTGATCATTGTTATGTCCTGAAAAAGAACCAATATTAAGAGTGAACAAGATGAAAGAGGCAAGTATTACCTGCTTGGGGCAGACTGGGGGCAGCCTCAGAACAAGTCGCCCTAGGACGACTGGTATCAAATAACTGACTCCTGCCATGTTCCAAGTCTCTCGAGTAACTTGGAAACTGCGATGGGACCAACATTTTCAAACCAAATTGTCCTGTGGACATCAAGTCTGCAATATTAACTCTTGTTTCCTTCATGAGACAACTACACAGAGAAATGGCGTTTCCTCTGGTCTTGTAGATCTCAGATGTTCATGTGGCAGTACCTTCCTCCATTCTCATATGGACAGGGCTCTTTTTCCTCTTGAAGTACACGTAAACATTAAGTAGGTCAAATGGATGAGATGGACAGACCAGAGACCATAAAAGCCAATGAAAAACAAGAAGAATGAGATCCTAACTTAGAAGATCTTCCCAAGTACCCGCTTTGCATCATCAGCCATAACACCATCCTTCGACCCCTTAACAACCTCATTCTGCTGGAAATGGAACCGCCTTCTCGTAGATTGCGCAGCCTTGAGCTGCGGCAGTTCCTTATCCCCATCGCCAGCCGCCTCCAACCTCCTCCTCATCTTCTCCTCATTCTTTTTCGCCATACCGTCAGCAATACGACCACTCTCAACACCCGCAATGAACATTTTAGCTTCCTTGGCTTCGCGAGCATCGGCAATCTTCCTCTTGCTTTCCCTTTCGGATCTCTCTCGTTGTACAGATTGCATGAGATCCTCCCAGGAGTATCGTGAGAGATATTTGATGTTCCACACATCATCGTGATACCCTTTGGATCATAGCACTTGTCAGCTTTTATTGTGAAATAGCAGGGATTCATTCAAGGGCGAAAAGGCCGGCAGACTCACAGCTTGACTTCAAACCACCAACAATTGTCGCATTCAATGTCTCCGCGCAGATCTTGGCCGTCTTTTTGGACTCAAACTCGATCCATCCTTCCGTGTAGAGCTTTCTCTTATTCGAGCGGCTGCGCTGACCGGCTGCAGAGGGGAGAAGAGGCGCTAGGAAAATCTTCGTGATACCTCCGAACCCTCTCTTCTCAAGCATTGCTTTCAGGGCGAAAGGTTTAAGGTATGGCGGGAGAGAAGAAAAGTAAATGACACCCGAACGGGGTTTCTTGGGTGCTTTGCCGGTGGCTAGTTTCGACAGCTTAGCGAGCTTGCCCTTTGCTTTGAGCGACTTGGCTGATTTGGTGCTGGGTTTTGTTGAATCTTCTAGACTTGCGCCGCCGTTTTCATCCTCGCTGTCTTTGTCTTTGTGTTCGAGGTTTTTTTTGTCATCATCCTCCTCTTCGTCAGACTGCTGCGAGAAATCTTGCGTGGTTGTCGTCCGCCGCCGCTTCACGGCCCGTCCTTTGCTCTCCACCGCATTGGCTTCGGAGTCGTAGCCACGGTCACTGCCGCTGGCCTCATCATCACTGGCCGCAATGTCTAGGAAGTCGTTGTGTTTGCGGGTCGTCATTTTGTGGAATCCGAGTGGTGTTGATAGACTTGGTCGTGGGTGGCGGAAGTCTGCAACTTTTTTAATGCGGGTGGTCTGTGCCCTCGGAGTCAAGCGGTTCCAATTTAGATCTACTGATCAGCCACACATCAGCCACATATAAAAGGCAAAGAGTTATCAGATGTAGGATACCGAACAGCATGAAAGGGTTTGAAAAACAATTTTAAGTAAATCGATAAGGAAAATTCTTTGAAATCTTTATACTGGCATGTCTCTTTAGAAGCCAGTCGAGCTCTATATGCTAAAAACAACCATCCCAAGGTATCCACGAACGCCACAGAGAACCAACATCAAGAGCCTTCATGGTATATTCAAGCAAAAAAAAACATTAACATGTCACAAGTCTAACTGATACCAAGTGATCCCTTGGCTCGCTCATAAACGTAGAAGCTCACTGCAACCATGGGAACGACCTTGACGTATCCAATGGTCAGTCCAACCCAGAAGCCTCTGAACCCTCTCTCAAGCCAGATTGTGCGCGCCGTTTCGGCGATTCCAAGTCGGCGTCCGTCACCGACTGCACCACCAACTTGCATGCGCCGACGTAGGACCTCCACTGGATATGATGAAGTCTGCGAAACTAGACCGGCCACAGCACCGGATAAAAGCTCGGATGTGGTATTTAGCTGTGGTCTTTTGGGTCGATCCGCGGGATTTTCCAACTCCGTTGTTCGTCTGAGAGTATAGCGCGCCACACTTGGGTGGCGGAACAAATCACCCACTGTGTCATGGGTGAGGAAAGACATCCCGGCGTACGGAAGCATTCCGAGGATAGTCGGGGAGAAGCCACGGTAGAAATTGGCAATTCCGGTGCGCGGTAGAACTTTCGAAACGGCAGATGAAGCACTTTCGGCAACAGCAACGGAAGAAGACTCGGCTGCCGCGGCAGAGTGGGTTGATGGGAGTTGAACACGCTCGTTGTAGATTTGCCGCCACACGTCCACTAAGCCTAAGCGGTGCGATTGTCGGGTTTCGAACGCCATGCGCACGCGCATTAACTCCAATGGATATGTGAAACATACAGAGGTAACACCGGCTAAACTGCCGGAGACCAAGCGGCGGAACGGGGTTTCATGTTCGCTGGAAGGAATGAGAACTGCGCGAATCTGCTCGTATGCAAGGAACTTTATAGCGGCGTATGGGAAAATTCGAAGGAGGGTTACGGAGTGGCCCTTGTACAGGCCTTGGAAACCTTCAGTACGCTTGATATCTCGAATCGCTGCTGCCAGGCCAGTCCAGCTGCCCGTGTATTTGGCGAATTGAGGATTTGACGCCTGGAAGAGGATCTTCACGCGATCGAGGGGCGCTACCACAGTCTTGGCCTATAATGACAGGCGCAGTAATCAGTACAAAGCTCACAATTGACCTACGACCCATGCAAACTTACCGCACACCCAGCCAGTCCTCCCGCAATTCCACTCCTTATCACATAATCCAAGCTACGCTTTTGAATCTTTTTATCGCCACTCTCTGTTTTGTCCATGGCGGCGGTCATATTTGATATTTTTGGTTTCGTAGCGCCGACAGGCGACAATCCCGGCTGTGCGGTCTCGCTCATCAGAGCGGACTGCGGAGTGGAGTATGAGGATTTGTTGAGGTCATAGGCATGGTCCTTGGGACCAGTCGACATGGGATAGGAAGAGGAAAAGAAAGACGCGGTAGTGAGAGAGCAACCGAGGCCCAAGGAGGGGGAGAATATCCGGGGTCGTCCTCGTGATCAGTTTCGGCGATAATCAGCCAGAGTTCTCGGGGAGCCGGATGATCTTCGGGACGCTTCAACTGTGCATACAGATGTCTGAGAGTTGATCGGATAGCACAACAAGCTTAAACAACATATGCAAGAATGATATGATAATGCAATGGCCCAAGATGAAAACGTTCTGGGGGTGTTTCCACTGACGTATTTGCGAAGTTTGGATAGTCCAGACATTGTTGTTACGAACATTCAGACGTGCCGATACCACTAGCCCTCCGCGAATAACCGGCGGAATACGGTACCAATACGGCCCGCAATGTCAGCGAGTCCCGAGTAGCCGGTTTGTCATCGTACTCTTCATCCACTAGGACTTGTAGCCGATATCCTGCAGTCTTAAATGTAGCTGGTTTTATTTGATTAAGAGGAATACTCGTTCTATGTTGTTGCATTGCTTCTAAGCTATTTAACTTTTCCCCAAAAAGAAATGCTAGTGAAAAGAGATGAACTCCCCGTGTCCATGCAGCTCGAAATGTATACGAAGTACAAAGAATATCGTGGTCGCGTGAGATTGAAAAATGAATGCCTTTTGAAGACATCAAACCTTGCGCTGAGCGCGTGTTCGGGTCAAGGGTTTAGCCTGCTTAGTCTGTTTGGCTGCCTTGGTCACTCTGGTGTCCTCCGAAACGCGCTTGCGCTTGGCTGGCCGGCAAGGATCAACATGAAGATGCCCATGCTCGGACAACGCGGTCGTGTTTTTCCAACGCAGGCAGCGAGGGCCACTCTCATTCACATCCAGATAGGTCTTAGTCCGGGTGGTCACGCGTTTGGCTGGGATGTCTTCCGACTCGGCTCTTTGAGGCGTCTCGGCTAGGTACGCCTTGCGATTATTCATGTACTTGGCGATGTACTCCTGCTGGATGAGCAGCTCCTTAAGCAACTTAGACTCCCGGTTGCCGCGCGAGTCCAGCCACTCCATGAGTTGCTCAATCGCCTCGGGGTCTTCATAGTAGCCCCATTCACGAGCATTTGACACGTGGGTTGGCCCTTCTTCGTGCTTCTTGCGCTCTGCGGGCGTGGTTTGGAAATGCTTCTGGTATTGCTTCCGCTGTTCGTCGGTCACATCAATGAAGCCAGCGTGCTCCATTTCATCCGGGCCTTGCACCCACAGGCGACCATTGGCGTAGTGTGCCTCGGCCATTGAGCTGTCCGGCATACCTTCGTAGGGCATCGCATTACGCTCAAACCACCAGTATCGATTGCAGAAGCGATCAAGTCCAAGGCATCGGGACCGAGAGCAGTCTGTTTCGCGAAGGCTGTTCTCCACGGTCTCGATCTGCTCCTGGAGCTTCTCGATCTGGGCCTTCTGCTCGTCGATCTTCTTCAAAACTCGCTGGTATTGCTTGGACCCCTTAGGCTGCTTCGCTAATATCTCCTTTCGCTCCTTGTCCAATTCTTGCTTCCGTTTACGCTCGAGTGCCCGATCAATCCCTCCACGTAACGAGCGTGGTCGAGGGATATCCTCGTCTTCAGTATCACCGACTAATTCAGAGTCTCCTTCAAGCAATCGAGAATCATCAAAGCCGTCCAGGTCCGGGATCGGCGTAGGTGACTTTCCAGTCTTTTCAGGTTCAGGCTGAATGGCCTTACGCTCCTGGTGCAGCTGGCGAAGCTCGATGAGGCTGAAAGATGATGTTAGCGGTTGAGATGACAATAGTCAAGGATTGACCTACCCTGCTTTGCGTGCCTTCTGATACTCAATTTTTTCCTTGCGCAACTCTGTCATCTGATTGCTGCACTCTTCTAGATAGTTTCGGATGGCCTTGGTCTCTAAACTCAACATACAAATCATCTGGAGGACCTTGGTACGCAAATTGATATCGAGTGTTTGATACTGCTCCTGCACGGTGTATTGTGTAGGCTCACGATCGAGAGGCGCCAGATGCTTGAGAATAGTGTTGCAGATTTGCTCCGAGCGAGGACGGATAGATAGCTGGTGTAGAAGTCCAACTATAACCAACTGCCATCCACCGTTGCGGAACTCACGTTTGCGGAGACGATCAATCCATCCATTTTTCTCAAACATCTCACCGGCGCGATGAATTTGTGTCTCCTCAGGTTCATCTTCATTAATCTGCGCTTTAATGATGACTGCCTCTTCCTTGGCTAGGCTTCCTCTGGTGGTCATTCTACCTGGTTTCGGCTGCGGCTCTGGAGACTCTTCCTCGGCTTCTTCCTCTTCCTCTTCTTCTGATTCATCAGAATCATCAGCAGGGAATTCTGGGAGTGATATCTGAACAGCACCATCACCATTCGACGAATTGACGAGTTTTTTAAGAACGGCGCAATGCACTTCAACGAAAAGTTCACAATCCACTTCGGTTGATGAGAACCGCATAGCTTGAATAAAATCGTCGAACGTGAAAGAATCCAGTTCAAATACTTCGCAGTAGACATTGAGTGTGTCCCATGTCTCCAGGAGCAATCCCACTGTTTCCGGCTCTAGATCATCGGGCAGAAGGTTATCTGCACCGTCGTCTTCAGACTCACCTACCATCATAAACTTCAGGGTTGGTCGGTGTTGCTTTTCAGAATTAGGAGCAAGGTCCAGATCTTCAATAGGATACTTGATCGGTGGTGGGGATGGTGCTCTCGGCTCATTCTTGATGACCACTGCTGGGGGTCCAGCAAGCTTCCTGTCGCCAACCAGTGGCGGTTTGGAAGGGCGCAAGGGGTTGGAAGGCAGAAGGAATGATGGGTTACCATTCAGGGATCGCTGATACTCTTGGTACTGCGCCTCTCTCGATTTTGCCATGTCATGTGCAGACAATTTCGACTTCTGCCCCTTGACTGCGGGTTTCAGCTCGGGCAGCTGCTGAGAAGAAAAGAAACCAAAGAAGCCGTCCTGGTCTGCTTTCTTCATAGCCTTCTTCTCTGCCACCTTCGTACCATACTGCAGATGCTTAGGTACCTCAATCGGAATCTTGTATGTCTCTGCGACAGATGGCTTGACCAACCAGGGGGCACCTGTCCACGACTCTCTAGTGACGTTGTTTTTGATGAACCCACGTAGCATCAGTTTAGTGAATGCCTTCCGGTCGCGTGTGATATGGTCCTGGTCCAGCAGGGCCTCTTCATTTTGTCGATCTAGGATCTTGACCAGATACCTGGCGAAAGCAGGTGTTTTGATCGTGCCATCGGCATATAACTGCTCTGCAAAGTTTGCCTTGTCTCTGATGGTACCATGAAGCCGACTACTATCCTCAAGCAAGATGAGAACGGCTTCGCCCGGGTAGAAGTCTGATTTGAACTCCTAGATTTGTTAGTTCAATTTCCATTAAATGAATAAATGACAGGATTGTCTCACTTCATAGATCTCATCCACTAAGAAAGAGTTCAGTTAGCTTGGTTCGGACTAGCAAAGTCAGGAGTAACCTACCCAGGCTGTCCACCCTCGAAACTATAGAGAACTGAATTCTGCGCAGAATAGGTTCTCTCAGCGCATCCGGGAAACTGTTGTTGACTTCACGCGATTCCTCCGTCTATTCAAGGCTTAGCAAATGTCCATGACTCGGTGTCCAAGTTATACTATACCTCACTGCGGAGCGCCTCAAAGAAGGTCAAGCCTGAATGGCCGGTGATCTCGCAGATGAATCGGCGTTGTTTATAGAAGTCCATCCGCTGAAGGTAAGGCTCGTAGCTGGTGAAGACCTCGTTGGTCTCCGGGATAACCCAGACCTGGAAGAAAGAAAGAGCGTAAGTAGATAAATCTACAGTATATGTAATAAAAGTACATACCTCAGAGCTATCATCTTCAATGACAGTTTGTGGGAGGTATTGGACTGGTTTGCGTTTGAATAACACCTATACATGCAATTTTTGTAAGCCTCTTTGTCCCCGTAACATCCACCACCTTCTTCTTGGCACCTCTGCAACCACTCCATCGGACAAGGTGTTGCATACCATAATGCTTTCAATATTACGTGTGGACGCGCCAGTCGGCCAAGAGATACCGTGTACAGAATCGAGAATCAAGCATGAACGGGACTAAATTAAACGCGATCTTAGTTAGCGAGTGAAGCTTGATGTGTGAGGGTCAGGGCCGCATCAGACACGCAATCGGCGGAGGTAACGGGAGTACCGATGTTGATTGCAGATATTTCAGTTGTTATGGTGCACTGTTATGTAGAAGATGGGCGGTTGTAGGTGGGGAGAAATTGTCGTGATCAGGCCTGGTCGCAGACCAACACACGAACAGTAGAATAGCGATGCTTCGGGAATTCATGCGGACTTACCGGAGTAGAACGCGTCCTGTATCAAGTTGAGAACCTAGCAATTCTGGAATAATGAACTGCTAAAATACCAAGGGGAAGGGAAGCTGTGAATATTTGGAGGTGTAGGAAGCAAGAAAGAAGAAAGGTAGACAAAAAGGACGGAGCGGTAGATCACTGCAGGACCGCGAATCAGCGGTGGAAGCTGATTGGTGGAGAGGAGGAGCAAGCGGGAGCCAAAGCCCAGCAGAAAAACGCACCTGGGCTTTCCTCGGGACCCTCGACTCTCCCTCCTCCCCTTGTCATCTCCGACTATCAATTCCTTCTTCCTTTCTTTCCCAACTCTACCCGTATTTACCCTCATTCGACTCGTCCGATTCAGGAGATTTAATCTATGTTCTTCTTATTTCAAATTTATATGACATTTCTATTCTTCAACGCAGTTATCAATTCACAGTTTCTATTCTCGGACACTACCCGGCCTAGGATCGGAGCAACCAATTCGAACTACCGGGACCATGATAACCACCAGCTTTGTTTGTATTTTTAGCATGAAACACCAACCTTTCACAACATTCTCTTTTGGCCTTAAATGCTCAATTGTTTTTTATTCATAACCCTACAGTCATGTACCTAGGTAGTCATGTCTCATGCTTGAAAAATGACAAAACCTATTTTGAGAATGACTGTTTTCCATAAAAGCGTCGTTTTATCTATGAGCTTTTTATGCACATCCTAGATTCTACACCGGCTGGCAACTACACATCACCCTTATGACTCTAAAACAAGCAGCTAAGGCGGGCATATAGATTTGATACACCGGCTTCAGCCACGGTGTCACAAGCGCATTGGCCACCTAGATATCTCTTGTTGTATGAGTGGTGATCTAGATCTACACTTTCTGAAGCTAGTGAGCCTATCTTTAGTATATCATCGCACCTTCTTGTTGTGATGGTTTGGTTACCGCTCGGCTAAGCATGAACATGCCACCAACGCGGTATGTGTGAAGAGTGAAGCCACCATTCAAGATTACATATTGCATGCTTTGCTAACTTTGGAAATGAGCTGCTTCTCATTTTTCTTGTTGGAGCAGCCCTTAAACAACTTACTAATCAGTTGTGAGAAAGGGAGAACGTCTCGACCAAAATGTGCACCACAAAGAGAACCAGCAGATATATATATGCGTTCTAAACATGTATTTTCACAAATTATCAAGAACTCAGGCCAAAATTGGGACCGATGAGATGAAAAAAGTACATACACAGAAAGTACATACACAGACATTGCCAACATAATCATAGAATGGTAGAATAGAAAACAGACCATGTTTCTATCTGACCTGCATTTGGCTGCAGGCCAACCATGGATGAAGGAAAACTAACCAGATTAGGTCTAGTGGAAAAATAGACTCCGTGATCCGTGGGTCTGATCCACGTGGAAACAAACAGTGCAAACACTACAAAGCACATCTACAGACGCTGCGCAAGTGAACACCAAAGTCACCCCAATCTCATTAAGGTTGCGTTTAATGACAGCTAAATTTATGAAATCATTGATTAGTGGTACTTTGCTTGATTTATGCTGTAAAATAAACCACCATAAATCCAATCCAGCTTCCAACAACTCCGAGGGCACAATAACTGCTCATGAACATCAATGGCAGGAACTCTAGCCGGTCCCATCCGAAAATCAATTGGTGACCCAGGGAGCAGTATATAATGAGAGGAATAGATATGGTCAAGTAAAGCAGCGAAAGCCGGTCGAATATGAAGATTCGGGGCCGCTCAGGGACAGGTGCGACTCGGTCGAAGACAAAGAGGAATAGCACCAGCCACAGAACTGTATAAATAGTTTTGAGGGGGAACTCGCCAGCTGTGAATAGCAGTGGGAAGAGCGAGACATGCCCCGCAACTGCCAGAGGTCGGAATGCGCTGAAGTAGCGACGGTCCTTGAGGGCGATAAGACTGAATGGGATGATGATGAGGAGAATGGCTTTCTCGTGCACATGCCAGCCGAAGAGGAACGATGCATAGCCGCAGAGGGTGATCGCACCGACAAAAGTATCCCAACAGCCTGGCTTGAACCAGACCTTGACGAGAGGAACCTAGACGATTGTCAGAGAAGGCCAAAGACACAAAACGAGGAACACATACCACTTGGAACAAGAATGTCAATATGAAGGTATGTTCTTTCGTAACCTCCGGGAGAACTGCAAAAGAAGTGTCTCCTACCAGTCCTCGTGTGACGCTGTTCAGAGCATCAGTGTTCACGGGAAGCCCCAACCGTGGAGCAACTGCAGAAACTATCAGATAAGCTCATATCTCATCCACACCGAGAGAGGAAGAGAATGCTTACGGGAAATCAATGCTCGATCAGCGAAGGAGTACATCGCCCAGATATTTGGCGCCCAGTACGCGTGACATAGCCCTCTCGAAAATGGAAACAGCCGGTCTTTGAGCTGCAGCAATTGTCCCCATTTGGCAAATGGCCCAAAGGCAATTGCAAAAATGCCCACCACGCAGAATCCAAGTTTGAAAATATTACCGAATTGGGGCCGGAAAACCGATTTGAGACTAAGGCAGTAGGTGCGCAGCAGATAGACGAAGTAGGCGAGAGCGAGGTAAAGATATATGTGCTTCATGCATAGCAGCACCGCGAAGAGAATACCGCTATAGAGAAGCGTCGATTGTTTGCGGGCCAGGACAATTGATAAAATCAGAATTCCATACATGAAGCCATTGTATTGGAAGTGGATATGATCAATGATGAGGAGACCGGGAGAAAGTAGGATAGAAAGACTGGCCACATGTGCAGCTTGCTTGTTCGGCAAAGGAACGGACTTGACGAATCTACCAAGAGCAGTTAGAATCTCATTGCATTACCCCCAAAAACCCAAGATCGGGTGCCATACCGACTAAGCGCGTAGACAAGAACCAGCTCCGTCAAAATCACAGTTGCTCTTTGAAAGTAGACAGTCTGCCAGGAGTCATATCCAAGGTTCTTCACGACTAACATAGCAGAGTCTGCATATACAGCAGCCTGCGACATAAGCCATTCGAAGGCTGCAAAGAACGGTGGGTAGTCGAGCGTCCATTCCGAGGTTTTCTGAACCAGCTCAAGTCAACACCCACCATACTTGTCCAAGCATCACGCTTCCGACCGAACATACCTCATAGTACCATTCTTGGATGGGGAGAGAATGGGTGATAGCGAGCCAATTGCGATGGACCTCAAAATCGGTCGATTTGCTGCAGCACAAAAAAAAGCATGTTAGAAAAGCTCATTTGGTAACCCCAATATCCTGTTCAGGATCACTTAGAAAGCGATTTGTAGCTCTTATTTTGCAGATTTGAAGTCTTCGATATCTTTCCATCTGCCTCCTCGACCTTTTTTTGCTGCGGTGATAGGAGCGGAACTTACTATGCGGGGAAGAGCAATACTTTGAAGGCAGCTGCAACGATGGCACATTGCGCCAATGAAGGGTAAGATTCAGCCATTGGAGCCTCTGCGCATGATGGTGCAGCGAGATTGAAAGCCAAGAAGACACAAGACGCGAGAATGCGCAAATCAACGGAGGGACTAGTTTCCTCTTGTTATTTTCTATGACACGTGACCAGATGCGGAGATCGGAGGTCAACCAGAAGCGAAACATCGGGGCAGAAGGACAGATAGTCAATACAACAAATTAAACGCCCGAAAGGGAAACACTCTCCGTATGGACTTCACAGACGTCGGAATACGCCATACAATTCTCAATAGTGTACAGCTTCATCACTTCATCGATTTCTCACCATCGGCTGCTGTTGTTGCCAAGGAGGCTCGTCTCTGCGTTATTGCTATTGTTGTCGGTTGGGTCACCACTAGTGTCGTCTCCAGCATTTGCAATCGGAAGTGTGATCGTGACTCAATCCATAGCAAGCGTTGATAGCTGCTGCGCAAGACTTCCGCAAAACTTCCGCAAATTTCACATCAACATCAAGCTCCCCCAACTGTCAAACCATACAGCATGATGAGAACATTAGCTTCCCTGGCATTGCTTGCCGTAGGAGCGACAGCCCAGGTTATTGAAAGCTCGAGCTTTGGCGCTGGTCAAACGTCAGTCTACTGCCCGTTCTTAATCTTCGAAGGATAGTTATCTGACCTCAGACTAGGTTATCACCAAACCGAAACTCTATCCCCGGTTGGGCAATTGGAGGAGAGGGCCATGAACCGCAAGTTGTGAGTCAGCCCATCGAAACCGTGGCCGAACTGATCTAACAGCTATCTAGCTATCAAACAAGGTCATCTTAACGCCACCGTACCCTGGAAACACACGGGGGTCAGCTTGGGCACAAAGTCCGTAAGTAATAGCCTCCCAACCATGATATCGGACACCAAATGATAACATGGGTATAGTGTTTCTCAGTCGGAATGGTCAGCAGAGTTCCAGTTCCGAGCAAGCGGACCAGAACGAGCGGGTGGAATCTTGCAGTTATGGTATACCAAGGACGGCGAGTCCCGTATTGGTACCTCCAGCATCTATACTGTCGGCCAGTTCGACGGCTTGGCTCTGGTGATTGATACGCATGGTGGAAGAGTGTGTATTGACCCTGTCGCGTATGGTCGCCGCGTATTGATTATTACTACTACTAACCTTTTCCATAGGGCGGCAGTGTCCGTGGATTCCTGAATGACGGTACTATCGACTACAAAAGCCACAACAGCCCAGATACCTTAGCCTTTGGCCACTGCGACTACTCTTACCGTAACCTAGGCCGTCCATCCATTGTCAAGCTTAAGCACACCAGCTCCATCTTTGAAGTCACCATTGACGACAAGCTTTGCTTCTCAACCAACAAGGTATGTACACAGTGTATTGCGGCAAAATAGTGCGGCAGCCATATTAAAATCATGTACTAACATGAGCAGGTTGCCCTGCCTGCTGGAAACACCTTTGGCATTACAGCAGCCACTCCTGAAAATCCAGACTCATTCGAGGTCTTCAAGTTCATCCTCGAGTCCGCCACAAGCCAAGGCTCAACAATCCCCTCCAACCAAGACAGCACCCCCCAGCAGCCAGCTCGCAACCAAGACCCTGATCAACCCGCTCAACCTATCAAGCCCGCCACAGAAGTCACGATGAACGGCTTGGCTGCCCAGATCGCCGACCTCAGCGGTCGCATTCAGCTCTCTGGAAAGGCCACCAATACTATCCTCCAGGAGCTGAAGAATCAAGCCCTGAAGGCCGATCAGCGCCACGAAGAGCTTATTCAGAAGTCCCTCGCCCAGGACCGCCAGCTCGCCCAGTTTGATACCCGGCTCACGCGCGTTGAGCAGCTGCTCCAGGCTGTCCAGACCGAGATCAAGAACAAGGACTACAATGGACGCTTCAACCAGCTCCACGAAACGCTGCGCTCCTCCCACCTTAGCCTGAGTGAGAACCTGCAGGGTCACCTGCTTAGTGGTAAGTCCCCTTGCTTTGTTCGGATGACTCATTCGTTCATAAGGCTAATTGCTTTTTTTCTCATCTTATAGTCATTACTGCCTCTAGCCCGCGCATGGGATTCTTCATCTTCTTGCTGATCGTGTCCCAGGTGGTTCTCGTGATTTTCTACGTCATTTACAAGCGTCGCCGGGCCAACATGCCCAAGAAATTCCTTTGAGCGTCTTCATTCTGTCTCTCTCTTCCTCCTACCCTCTGTCGCATTTTAACCTGTGTCGTCTTAAGTAACTGTGTGATGGGGATGGGGTGTACATTCATAATATTCACAAGTGTGCTTTGTCTGATGGCAAGCCATTGGGATTTGCATCTTCTTCCGATGAAGTTTTGTAGAGTACGAACAAATTTATAGCGGTCATGAAAAAACTCTGAGAGTAATTGTATCTAGAAGTAAGAGAAAAGTGAGAGAGAAAATATTCATTTGGCCTTTGGCCCATGCTATCGTACACATTCTCCGAGCTACCCGGCCACGCGCAATTTTTTTTGAAAAACAAGAAAAAGCAAAACAAGATAGAAACAACATTGAGAAAAAAAAACAGAGGCGTGGCCGGGCAGCTCAGAGAAACAGATTCGAGAAAATTGACGATCGCCATCCCGGCGATCGTGAAAATGGGAAAAAAAAATTTCAAATCCACAATTCAAAACGCCGGGTCCTTAATGCGCGCATTGAATTCAACAGAGCAGGGTTGCTCTCTCACTTGGACTTGGTGTATTGGCGCTTCTGCGCCGGTTCTCCCGCGGATCCCTGATCATCGGTGCGGGATCGCTTGTTCCGATTGAACACAGGGATCCGCGGGAGAAGCTCGGAGTCCGAGTGGTGGGATTCCTCGGCATCGGAGGATGCCTTGGGAGGGTGAGTGGTGTCGGGAGGAGGAGAGGTGGCAGCATGAGAAGAGCCCAAGGTGGACTCCTCATCGATGCGGGACAAGGTCTTCTGAGCAATGGGCGAGGCAGGCCCAGCAGCTTCGGCGATGTGACCTTCGCCGACAGCAAGAGGAGGCTGGCTGGAAGCCATGCTGAGGAGGGCAGCAGCAGCGTCAAATTCTTCAGTGGAAACAGGAGCGCCGGCAATCATGTTGCTAACAGCGTAAGAAACATTCTGGGTAAAATCCGCGGGAAGACCGTTCTGTGTGATGTTGTTGGTGATCCCGGCGGTTTCAGCACGGTTGAGGTACTCATTGGTGAGTTGCTTGGTCAAGTCCAAGCACTTTCGCTCGACAATTCGGGCATACTCAATTTCACGTTCGTGGTGATCATCTTTGACAGCAGTGATAAAGTTCAATACGACATCACCTCCAAGGAAACGGGCTCTCTTCTCTCTCCAGTCATCGTCAAACAGACTTTGATTTGGATCGTCAGGAAGCATGATGTCACAATCAATGTACGCCATGTTCTTGGTTCGGCGAACACGGCGCGTACGCTCGTTGCTGCCATTAATCTCCTTGGTGGCAATCATATCGTCAGGAGTGACATGGTTGGGACACATCCACCCGACCTTGGGGTTAGGGGGATGTGCGCGGGGAGGATCAAGACAATCCAGATGGAAGCGGCAGGGACAGTAGTCGCAAGTAATAATGGGACGTGTGCCTTGGGATGTAAAACCACACTTGGAGCAACGGATACAGTCTCCCTTGTTGTCATATTCTCGGAGAAGCATGGGATTCGCGTAAATGGTAGGGCCGTCCTGCTTGGGTGCTTTAGTCAGCCGCGGTAGGTGGGGCGCGGCCTTGTAGTAGCGTTGATGCTTCAAATTCCGGGCATAGTCGTCATCAAACACAATTCCTTCATCCACTCCCTGGAAATGTTCCTTGATATCCTGAGGAAGTTGGAACTCCGTCTTCTTGTAGTGGTTGGAGTGTGCGATCAAGGTTGAGAAACTGTTGCGGATGGAGCACTTGGGGCAATGCCACTCTCCCTGCGGAGGATTCTTGGGGTCCAAGGGAGGATCCAAGCATTCAAAATGGTACGAGTTGATGCATGTGTCGCAGCAGAGTAAATCACCACCTTTTCCACATTGGTGGCAATCGTCGCTGTTCTCGGGGGGTTCACTGTGAGGTGTCATGTTAGCACGTAGACCTGGTCATGTCATGCCAAGAAATCACATACATAGAATTCGGCATTTGGCGTGGTTCGTGGCCACCAGACCAATCGTTAAATCGAACCGAGTAAGCAGAATTTGAGAGCGAAGAAAGACTCGAGACTGTGGTGTCCACAGAGAGCGACCGTGCACGCTGTGGGATCTCAGGGCCCTTGACCTTTTCTTTCTGGCGTCGCGAGGCGGGCTTGCCAGTTTTGCGACCTACAAGTGAGGCAGATGGTGAATAGACAGATGGAGCCTCGGGCTCCGGACCCTTGACAACAGGTAGATCGAGGATGGAACCTGGTGCAGGAAGGGAACGCGAACGATTGAGCTCGTCGATATCCCCCTCAATACCCGTGTCAATATTATCCATGTTGTAGGGATGTTGAATGGCGTCTGGTGGGCCAATAAGAGTTCGAATTGCACTGTAACGGACTCTGGCTTCCGAGTAGGACTCCGTTTGAAGACGAGCACGCACAGCTCGCATCTTTTCATCGTGATCAGTATCCATTTCCCACTTGCGCTTACGTTTGTAAGCATTCTCATTGACTCGGCATGGCTTCTTGGGTCTCTTGAGCGGAGCAGTATTCGATTTGCCGCTTAGGAAGTTTTCCTCCACACGAGGACCACTCGTGTCGCGATAAATGTCAGAGACCTTGAAACTGGGCTCTGCGTTAACAGAATTGGTAGGTGGCAGGCTTGATTCACTGCAGGAGGGAACATCGGCTGCATTGGCTGTAGCGCGAAGGTATTTCTGATACCACTTGAGGGCATCTGGCATAGAATTGTTGAGGACAGATTGGAGTGCAAGACGCAGTTGTTCGTCTGCTCCATCTCCGTTGGTGATGTTGGCGACCAAAGAGAGTTGAAATTCATCGTCCACGGCATTGGACCAGAAGTAAAGAAGGGCCACGGCAGACCCCTCGCTGCCGTTCTCGGTTGCGTGAATTATGGCGTACTTCATGACGACCCGGAGTTTGGCAACATCATATTTGTCGGAGGGGCGCAAAGGAAGAGACATCAGCATGGCGACGTACTTGTTGGTGTCGTCCGCGCTCGGGAGGGTAGGAGTGGGCGCATCGGCCGGGGTGGTAATGGCGTGAATTGCCTCATCAGCTAGGGTTTGGACCCCACTGGAGATTGAGCCAAATGCCTCTGATTCAACGGTCTCAGCATGACTCTTATCGGCTGCCAGGTACTCGACCCCGCTAACGGGGGAAAGGCGCTCAGCTTCGTCGCGCGGGACATTGGTCGGCACGGTCGCGACGCGGTGGGCCCGTTCAGACGGGGGAGCCACGCCAGCAGCTCGGTACTCCACGCTCGATGGGTATTCCCCGATCGGTCTCATTGTCCGATACTGGGTGGTGGGCTTCGAAGGGCCCGGGGGCTTCTTCTGAAGCTTCCGTCGTTGCGCGGGTTTGAAAGAGCCCTGACGGCGTTCGGACTGAGTGGACCCCGTAGGGGCAGGCGGAAGGGGTCTGGTAGGGTTAGTGCCACGCGCTCCATGCCCTAACTTCTTGGGGTCAACGTACTGTGCAGCAGCTGCATCTTGCTTCTCCTTGGCTGCCTTATTGGCTTCGGCTATGTGAAAAAGTCAGTGTTTGTTCCGATCTCGAGAGTGAGTGAGAAAAAAGTGTGGGGTTAATCTCTCAGTTTCATCTGAAAGACGCAACATCTCGTTCTCCCCATCCCAGAAGTGATCATTGACCAGATCTGTGAGATATACAGAGCAGGTGTATTTGTATAAAATTAAGCAAAAGAGAGTCGTTGTTTAAATGACATAAGTGACTGGATTTGTGCGAGAAGGGGGAGGTGAGTGTGGTGTCTCATCCACCGCACGACTCAGTGAACCAAATGACACAGCACGTCCCATCTCAGAGGTGACTGGGCCAAAGACAAGGCAATTCATGACAGGAGAGAAATGTCATTGAAATGCTAGTTGTCTTTGCTTGAGAAATATGCAGGTCAAGAGGCTGATGAGGTGTTGCAACTCAGTCACAACAGGAGCAGGGACATGGGAGACGATCCTGGGGGATGGGGCAGTGACAACATAATATACAGGAGTATGACATAGGATCATCTTTCATCTTAAGCCGAGAGACCGCGATATCCGCGTCACAGACGTGACTGGATGCCAGGGGAGGAGACTGGGGTAGACAGAGGATCGTCACTTACTCTTCTTGTTGAGAAGACGCTTTGAGACGCGACGCACAGTAGCACGCACGGTATCCATTTTTAACGATGAAAGTAACGCAATGGATGAAACGTAGGGAAGAAGAGAGAAGAAAGGAACAAGAAGATGAGAGGTGTGGGGGGTAATGAAATACTATGCGAGAATGGGGGCCTTCCCTTTTGGGACGGGGCTATTGTTCTCCATGAAGAGTGCAAACGGGCACAATAGAATCGACAGTCATCCAGGTGACATGTCACGTATTGACCTCGACACCCCGTGCTACCAGGGTGTCTCCTTTGAGCATGAATACAGTGAACAGGAGTTTTAATACTGATCGATTTATCTATTGCCTCGTTGGAAATCTGAGTCTGCATGTGTATAAAACTTCAATGGCTGCTCAAACCTAGCTCTATTGGACATAGCCTGGCTGTGTAGACAATCCTCCAGGCACCCATGCAAGTAGACAGACTTTATACTGACCACAGCAGACGAATATGAATTGAGCATTGTCCGCAATTCTCAAGGCGAGATGGCTGTAGAATAAGAATTTATCTTCAAATATCCCCAAAGCCGTAGCTCCATTGTGTCTTTGGGAACTCAGCAGTCTACATGAATAGGAAGGAGATCCTGGCTGTGTTGCTGCACCAATGCTCTACATAGACCAGTTCCCTATGATTGTTGGCCAATACATTAACACCACCTATAAAGCTTAGGACAGTGTTCTATCATTGTATACTCTAAAAGAAACCCACGGAAGACACATTTACAGACGTTTGAATCTCTATCGCCTTCATGTCGAGCTGTCGACGATGGACTACACACATATCTAGTTTTGATCTTGTTCCCAAGGAACAAGCTGCCTTGAGCAAAAAGCAGATTAGAATATGACATAGAAAAGAGCACAAAGAAGTAGTAGAGAACTACAATGACTACTGTCTCATGACAACATCTCCATGTAGATTTACAATATACATGAGTACAGACTGGCAACGTCTTGATTTGGTCCATGGAGTCTGCTCCAATTGCTACATACAAGACAGGCAGGTCTCCAGGGAAAAGCACAAGAAGATCTCCCAGCGTCAAGCTCGTGGATAACGTATATACCGAGATTTCCAAAAAAGGGTTGGCATTGCCAGCCCTGTCGCATGTTATTGGGAAGATCAAGTGTTTCTCTTTTGTTTTTGGATAGATTTCGTATGACCTGCAGTGAGGCTCGTCATTGGATATCTGTTTTGCATTCAGATTGGACAAATAGTCCTACACTATATCAAAGTGTATTGCATGTAAATGATGGCCAGTAGAAGTTTTTGTTAGAGCATTGACTCATATTTACTCTTCACCGGCGGTGGTCTTGGTCTTCTTCTTGCTCTTGTTCTTCTTGTTGCCAGTAGAGCGGGCAAGGGGCTGCTCGAGGATCTTGAGGATCTCCTCATCTTCAAGCTTCTTGTCAGACTTGATCTGCTCGACATCGACGGGCTTGGCAGCAGCGAGCTTGGTAAGACCGTTCTTGGTGATGGCTGTGAGTGGGTTTAGCTTATGGGTCCAAATCATCTCTATGCATGTTCAACGGTACTTACCAATGGTAGTCAGCAGACGAGAGACGGGGGAACCGTCAGTCTCACCAGCGGGCTCGTACTGGCGCAGGACACCGCCACGGACACACTCAACAACACCGACCTTGGCGGCCTTCTCGTCATCAAGCTGGCGCAAGCTGAAGGGGAAAGTGCCGAACTTCTTGACAACCTCAGACAGAGTCTGGCGGGAGCTGGGACGCTTCAGGCCGTAAGTGGTGGTAGTACGGCGGTGGAGGGTAGCACGGTGGTCGAGGTTCTTGACCTTGCCGGATCCGAGACTGAGGCCAACCTCAACACCCCAAACTTCACCGACCTCGGGAACACCATCACCACGGACACCGTTGCCGGGGGAGAGAATGATCTTCTTCTCGCCCTCAATCTCGTTGCGGCCGAACATCCAACTGGTGGTGTTCTCAACGACAGTGCAGTCGTAGGTCTTGGCAATCTTCTCAAGCAGAGAAGACATGTAGGCCTGAGTAGGGGCCTTCTGGGCCGCGGCCTTCTTCTTCTCCTCATCGGTACCCTGAGTCAAAAGACCCTGGGGAATCATGAGGCGGAGAAGGACCTCGTTGGCGTAGTGGGTTGCGAGAATGAGATCAGCCTCACGGCCGGTAACAACCTCCTTGGGGGAGTCCTTCTTGGGAACGACCACCATGTCGCAAACGATGGTTCCGAATCCATCGATCTGAGCACCAAGCTGGACCTTGACGAGCTCGCCGGCCTTCAGAGTGATCTCGGCCTCGGCGGCGTCGGACACCAGAGGAGTATAGGGAGTCACATAGGAACTAGGGGAGACAGTAGTTGGGTGAGAGATACCTTGATTTACATATAACAGTCAGTTCATGTGGTTTTCCTGCCATTAACGGGCTGGAAAGGAGGGTGGACCAACCCTTGGTAATCTTCTTGCCCTTGTAGACCTTGGCAACTTCCTCGTCGAGAAGCTTGTCACCCTTCTGACAGATCTCGACAATCTTCTCTCCCTCCACGCAAAGAGCTACGTAGGTGTTAGATGAAATGAGACAGTGGGATATTCTTGCGAAACATACCGGCAACAGCCTCAAGGACGTTGTGAGAAATTTGCGCAGCGGTCTTGTACTTGGTCAAGGTATCGGGGTTGTTAAGGGTGTAGTCTAGAAAGAATCGTATGGTTAGTTATGGTCTATGAACCGAACATATTTTTAGTGTTGTGGTGAGTGCCAGCGAGCTCATGGCCCATATTGGGCTCAGTGCCCACAAACGTCAGAGCTTTCCATGAAGTTTACATACCAACCTCGGGTGCTTTGTCTTCCGCCATTGTGAAATGAATTGAGCTCGTGAAGCTTTAAGAAACAAGTAAATGCAAGTGGTCCTGAAAAAAAGTGTTCGGATTGTAAATCCGTGTGAAGCTAGAGGAGAGGAATGGACCGAGATCGAGTCGTGTGCAGAGCGTCGAGAGGGCGTTTAGCGTTGGTGGGGTTGGGTAGTGGATGCCTGATGTTTCAGGCCAGACACCTAGGGCTTTGCCGAAGACGTCATGGCAATCTCTCCCTTGACTTCATACTGACCTCCGCCGTTGATTCGAGTCGAGGAAACATGTTATCTCTAGTATATCTAGCTATATCTAGTGTTTAATTTGTCATCTAGACTGCAAACTTCTACTCTAATACCCCGGATTCCGTCACAGCCCAGGATCGCTCAAACCTCCAGTATACTCCAATCCCCGGTGTTTCCCCTCTTCTACATCCCTGGGAGGTATATCGATGTAACCGGGCATTTTATCCCATAAAAATTCCGATTCCTGCCATCCGAGGGACAGCAACAAATATGGCATGAAGCATAGAAATATTCGACAAGTTCGATCCCTGCATGTCAAACAAGCTCAAATTATAAGCTTTCGCTTATTAAGAGACTCGATGATGTGAATCCAGCCTATATCGGGGGGGATAGCAGAGGTTTGTTTCTCAGATCCAGACCGCCAACTATAGAATACCCGAAAAGCACTCGCACAATTCCTACATAGAACGACTTGCACTAGGTAAAAATACCCGTAACATAGCTATATCGGCACATCGGATATATGTAACCTGTAACTAGGATTTTCACTGAAGGTGGGCCATATTAATGTGGCTTGCCTCAGGCATGAAGGTGACCTGTCGCAGCATCCCCTCACTCGTAAACCTCCATGGATGTACCTACACTATTGTTGGTAGTTTGATCCGCTAGTTTTTTTGTATATAACACTGTGAGTTATACAAAAATTCCCATCCGGAGTTTGACACACAATATCCGGTGTGCAACCTCATCCCCTTTCAAAGGTGAAAATCCTTGGACTGAACGCAAAACATTGCTGTTGAAAGAATATCAACACGAGAGTCGTCATTATATAGAAAAATTCATCTGCATACAAGAATTTCTGAACAATCAACTTAGTGGTATTCTGGCTGGATTGAATTAGGGTGCAGAGCCAGAAGCACCAGAATGGGAGTACATCGGCGTTGGTAGAGATGATGGCCACGAGGCTGGGGGACACTCTCCTATCATCTACACACCATTAGCCTAGGAGTTCTTACACTGGGAGACAGTGTGGCTATCCAAGACACCGGAAACACCATCCAAGAGCTGGCATACAACCTCCATCCACATTGCCCTAATTGGTGTCTTCACTAATTGGTGTCTTCACTAATTGAGGTAGTCGGCACACAGTTCTTGCCATGAACATCCATCTTGAGGACCAGGAATCCCAGTCTCATTTCAAGGCTGCACATTTAGTCACCGGGAAAATTTCCGAATAGTAGCCAGAACAAAATCACCAAGCTCATCTCGGGCGCTTTCTTGACCGGCGATTTCAACAGCGAAGAGAACCAGGAAGCTTACTAAGAGTTGATGGAAGGTTTCCTTGATGCATATAAGAAAGTTGACAGCTCGAGGTGATACGGTCGCCATATTACTTGGACTGGATTTAGGTGCGAGGGGTGAGCCAGCCTCGTGTATAGACAGACTATGTTCGGGTGAGACCTGCCGGGACTCACAACCACAAGTTGGCAGTCATTGGCTATACAGTGCTAGGGAATCAGTTCGATGATGGTTTTTTGTGCTCGGATCACTGTGCTGTAATTTGTGGACTTGACACACCAAGATCGATCAGGTCTTAATATAGTACAACGTTAGACTATGATGTCGAAACCAAGGGTACTACAATACGTGGTTGAAAACAGGGTGGAATATCCGGAAAATCTACGGACCGCGATGCTGTGGCCCACACAAATTGTGTGTCATGTTTAGTCAGCGTTGTCCGCATAAATTGGAAAAAGAGCGGATTTTGTCAGTTTAGTTAGTTAGAGAACTCACGAGTATTTTTCATGCCCCATCTATTGGTAGTTCTACACAGTGTTGAAACCATAGATCTCTGTCAAATAAACATGCCTAGAGACGGGATACCCGTGGAGGTTACATTATGTAAAGCACACGTGGGTCACATGACATTATGTAAAATTGGTAAACGGGGTCATAGGTTGGCCTGGAGCCCATAGTTGAGCATTGGGAATAATCTCAGAATGTCTTAAACGTAGACTTGTTAACTGAAGCTATAAATCCTTCATGGTTGTTGTGTTAGTTAGATTGAATGGCGAGTTTCTTTGCTTTACGATCTTCGACGGGTGCGGACACTTGTAACGGATACTCTCCCTCCTTCTCCTTTGCCTCTTTCACCATCATCGGCTTAAAAAAAACACAACTGCCAACTCTCCCAGTCTAAAACAATTTTCTAGGGAGAATAACGTCGGTTGGGATCATCGCAATCGATTGACGAAAAAGGTCAGCTGACTTGGCCCCAACCGATCCGGAGCGGATTCTGCGCTGGAACTCCCGACTGGTCCATTCAAGGAACATCGGCAAGAGCTCTCTCCCCCTTCGGCCCTGGTATGTTCGATATTCCTTCCCATTTGGTTTTCGTTTCCATAATTTCCATATGCTGCCCCCATTCAATCTGTTCCACCCCCTTCATTGGTGACTTGTGGCGTGTTCGGGGCATGCGCCCGTTGCGACACGTCCATCCATCACGCTTATCTCCCTAGGTAACATTGGATGCACGATCGCGATGGTGATGAATAGTATAATCTACTATCTGAAAACACCTGCTAATCATTCTTTGATCGCATGAACAGGTTCCATCCCATAATGCTACGGTAACTGATCCGAACATATCCCTGTCGCGTTGAGAGCCACTCCGAGCTTCGAAGACTATACGAGTGGCGTCAGACGTTTGTTTCGCATTCAGTAGACCATCCAAAATGCCATCCCCTGAAGTGACGGGTGGCTCGCTGCCCTCAGAGCAATCATTTGGGGACCTCCAACCAGGTGCTCAGAACAGCTCTGGCGCGTCGGACACGGGGGACCAAGGACCAGACAGTATCGACCTTGGGACAAGCCGATCAACAAATGGGCACACGCCAGATCTAATTGCAGAGGGAAAGCAAAGCGCAAAGGCTATGCTAGCTACTTCCGGGATGCCAGCCTCCTCGGAACCAGGCAGTGGGAGTTTCAATGGCACCCCCCATTCAAATGGTACGCATGGTTTCGCAAGAAAAAGATCTCGTGATGGATCGGCTGTCCAATCCACAGAGGTCTCCGGTGCCATGGCAGCGCGCGCCCGCGAAACGCCACTGGATAAGATTCTCCTGGAGCAATACGTTGATCGCGAATTTCAGCACTCGGCCGCAGCTGCTTGGCAAAATCCGAGTCAGGAATTGCAGAAGACTAAGAGAGCGGAACGGGACTTTTATTTAACAGTACGACGCGAAAATCAATTGAACCCTGCTGCATTGTACGGTGTGGGCTATGAGGGATTTGGAAACCCTCGCACCGACCTTCGCAATCAACACCCTCAACTTCTCTACCCAACTCATCGACGCCGGCCCGGAAATAGGAAGACGCGTGAGCTACGCATTTCACGACGTGACGCGAAGACGCAAAACGAACAGATGGAGGATTTGGTCCCTATCCGCTTGGACATTGATTGGGAAAAAGTCAAGATCCGCGATACTTTCACGTGGAACCTTCACGATCGTGTTGTGTCTCCGGACTTGTTTGCGGAAAAGCTGGTTGAAGACATGGGTCTCGCGGTAGAGAGCTCAGTCCCTTTGACGAGAATGATCTCCCAGAGCATCCAGGAGCAGGTGATCGACTATTACCCGCATCTTCACATACACGAAGACCCTCTTGATCCTCAACTACCCTATACCGCATACAAAAACGACGAGATGCGCATTTCGATCAAGCTCAACATTACCATCGGTCAACATACCCTGATCGACCAGTTCGAGTGGGATATCAATGATCCTAACAATTCTCCCGAAGAATTCGCATTATGCATGACAGATGACTTGTCCCTCTCTGGTGAATTCACTACCGCCATCGCCCATTCAATCCGGGAACAGTCCCAACTCTTCACCAAATCCCTGTACATTGTCGCTCACCCATTCGACGGTCGTCCAATCGAGGACCCCGATCTTCACACATCATTCCTCCCCACCCCTGTGGCTTCTGCCTTCCGACCATACCAATCCGCAAAAGAACATACGCCATATCTTTATGAGTTGAATGAGGCAGATCTTGAACGTACCGAAATCTCAATATCTCGAGAGCAACGTCGGCAGAAACGGTCAATTAACCGTCGTGGTGGCCCTGCTTTGCCAGATCTCAAGGACCGTCAACGCACAATTCGTACCATGATAGTTTCATCTGTGATACCCAACTCGGTGGGCTCCATGGATGAAAGCAATGTGATCAAGCGTACCGGTTCCGGCCGTCGTCGTGGCATGCCCGGAAACCGGGGCGATGATGATTCGGACGAGTTTGATAGCGATGACTCCTCTGTTGGCTCTCCTGCGATTGGGCCTAACCTCGCACAAGGCACTGCTCGTACTAGAGGCATGAGAGGCGCGGCATCTGCAGCCCATGCGGCGCTTCGCGCTAGCCTTGGACAATCTGCAACCCCCGAACCGGTGTACCACGAGCCCCGAGTCTCGGCCCGGAGACAGCAATACCGAGAAGAAAGCGTGGATGACTCTGAGAAGTTGATAGTGAGATTCAAGATTTCGCGTGACAAGCTAGTGGATCTGAGGAACGGAAGGCGCATTGTCTCCGCCCAATCCAGCGCAGGACAAGCACCACGCACGATGGCACCTCCGTCCGATAAACAGTCTCGACTTCACCCTCCCCCACGACCCCAACAAACCGGTGCTGTTGATGCACCGAACCCTCCGCAGCCTGGTGTTTCTGGCGTGAGTAGATTTAAACCCCAGTTTTTGGCCCATGGCTGACCCTGTGTCTATGCAGCCCCCACCACCCAACTGGCTGGCAGCCGGTCTCAGCAAGTTGAAACAATCTCACCCCAACGATTCCTTCGAAGGTGTGATGCGTTACTCCGCCGTCGATACTGAAACCCTGGCCCCCGTGGCAAACCCCAACAACCTCCAAGCTGGCCAAATCATCAAATACCAATACCTCCCCCGTATTCGTTGCCACGACTGCCCAGGGAAGCTGTACACCCCCGGCCCGGGCATGACAGTGGACAACTTTGAAGTTCATCTCCGCAACCGGCAGCATAAGGAGCGGGTCGAGGAGCGCCTCACGAAGTCTGGTGGCAGTGGGGCCAACCCCGACGGCGGAAGTGCGAGGGTAAGTCCAGCTCTCGGGACTGCCACAATCCCTGGAACACATGCCTCTACCTCTTCAGCCAGTGGGTCTTAGCCAGAGTCTATCTCGTTCATGAAGTGATGACAACGGCGTCCTGTGTGATTACTTCCACTTTCTCTCTCAGATCGCTTATATTCTCTTACACATTTGATCAATTCAATACATCTACTTCTTCTCCATGCTTACAAATTCTCTCCCATTCCACTTCCGCCAGTCTTGCATATGGTTTGGTTTCTTAGCCCGGAAGCGATCTATCTTTGTCCTTTCTGTTGGCGCTCAATGTTTCTCCGGGGTGTTTGTGTTCTTTCTTGCTTGGCTGGATCATGTGTAATAATAGTTTGAGAGACCGTTTGAGCTTTGGTAAATATTTCCTTTTTTTTTGTGAAATGACCCCGTAGGATTGCCCAGAATCACTTGTTAGTATTCGTCGGGCCTCTTTCTGGCATGTTGTTTTAGAGGCGGTGTCCACTCCCACCTACAAGGAGGAACAAAAGGAAGCTGTTCCACCGAACAGAGGAGGAAAGCAGCCATGTTGCCGAACTTACTGGCCTCAGACATCATGTGGCATATCCCCTGTCATCTTCGTCGGGGTTTTCCAGGCCATCAAGACCATTCATCCTCTCTTCTGAAGGGTGCGCCACAAAATCGTTATGCATGGCACTTGGTTGCTATATAGGATCAGCAGGAACAATATGCTGCTCTATAATGCAGTCGGAATTGACTCCTCCCGACATTTTTTCAGCCGTGATGTTCTCCTCTGGTGGGCACGCTAGGAGATTCAGGGGTATGCCACTTGGTCGCGGTCCTCTTGGATGCAACTTGGGCGAACGCTGAGTTGGGCTATTCAGTTCCAACAAGATGACTCTTGGACAAGGGTGTCAACAGATAGACATCTCATTGGCACTGTTGAAATGCTCACTAGAGCTGGGAATGCCACTATTCTTGCCATGTTTGAGGAAATCTGGACCACTTTGGGAACCGGTATAGATTTATATGTGAGTAGTACAAAAGACTACACTACTACGGCCTCTTGGGTAACCTATGCATTTCCTGGGCACAGTTTCATGGTCCGACACACTCGAAAGAATGTTCTAACCAGGCACTTCGAAGTACGAAAAAAAAAACAAATGTTTTTGAAGCAAAGTTCAATTCATTTACAGATGAGAAGCATATATCTGACGGGAATACGCAAAGAGACAGACGTTCGTGAGAAATCGGGCACAAGCCCGATGCTAACTTTAAGAGAAAAAAAAAGGCAGATGGGGTATACATCTCGGACCATTATGGACTGCAAGGAAACAGAGCATATGAGGACGAAATGGTGAAACCATAATGAAAACAACATGGGAATCAGGATATGAATATGAATATGAATATGAATATGAATATGAATATGAATATGAATATGAATATCGACGGGAACGATTTGCGCAGTAATTGCACAACTTAATTGGATCTGAGAACAGCAACAAGATCGATACTAGACGTCTATGTCCCGGAGACCTTGGCTGGGGAGTCATAGAAATACGACCATTGAAAGCACATGTCTTGGATGAAATGAAAAACATGACCCGTGTGTCATAGCTGGATGGGACCATGTTTTGTCCCATGTAGCCCCGGAGAGGTTCTTATCCACGACGGGAAGAGCGTCGCGAAGGCAAGCTGGCTGCCTCAGGCTTCTTTGCCCCTGGCTTCTTAGCATCGCCCTTTGCAGCAGTGGACCTTCCGCCTCGCTTTTTTGCAGGAGGCGGCGTGGGTTCTTTCTCACTGGCCTCGGCCTTATCTTCCTCAGAAAGTTCGGGACCTTCATCGGTTTCATGGATTTCTTTGTTCTCGCTTTCCTCTGCGTCATCTTCGCCGTCGTCTTTTTCATTGGGTTCATCCCACTCGGCCATCTCCATGTCCGCATAATCGCTATCATTGTCGATATAGCTGACTTCTGGCTTCGCGGTGCCTCGGACGCTACGTCTGCGAGATGAAGCGGGCGTGGTGCCTTCAGCGCCTCCGTCGGAAGACCAGCCGTCGTCGTTCTTTGATTTCCGTTTCGACTTGGCTGCTGCACTGACCGAAGATGTAGACTTGCGGGCGGGACGAGAAGACTTTTCCTTGCGTGCCTTTTTCGCCACAGAGGTTTTGCCGTTCGTATCAAGAGAGGGTTTTCGCTTTTTGGTCGATCCGCCCTGCGAAGCGTGGGCGGAGTTACTCTTAGGCTTCATTGCAATTCGGACGATGCGATCTAGCAAATCATCTAGTTCATCTGGAAGGAAGTTCTTGTCGGCGACGTCTTGGGCTTCGCGGTGACTGCTCATGGAGGTGAAGAGGGAGCTAGGGACGCCCATTTTTCCAGGGTAGGTTTGCAAGATGTTGGTTGCGCCGACCGCACCGCCAAACTTGTGTTGTTGGGAGTAGATTTCAGCGAACCGGCGAATGGTTGCTTGCGCCAAATCAGATAGTGTGTGGAGGCGGGTGGAGATCTCGTCTGATTTGGTGATTCCATCGCGGAATTGTTTGACGCGCTGTCCGACGTGGAAAATCAATGACATGTTGTGTTCATTGGCAACTGCGGAGAGGTAGAAAAGAATATATTGAGAGAAGTCGGTCAAGTCACCGAGTTTTGTTGCCTCATCCAGATCCTCAGACGGGTAGTCAGGGTGGTAGGCGAGCAAAGACAGGAGACGTGAAAAGATCAATTCCATTACCATGGTCTGTTCCGTCCGTTTCCCACTGGCTTGCGCCTGTTGGGCGAAGTATGCCGCTCGGGACCGTAGCCATGTAAGCGTGCTCTCTTTCAGACTATGAACAGGTTCGAAAGCAAGCAAACATGGGACGATGTACCATCGATGGCTCAGATGTGACTTTTGCACGAGTTTCTTCTTCAGGTGGTTAATGAAACCACCCCGCACCTGCACAAGTGGATCCTGGGCAACTAGAGCGACTGCGTTGAAATCAGACGGCGTCAACAAACCGTCGCAGATAGTGCTAGAAGCACACAGCTTGAGCAAGGACTTGGCAGCGAGGAGGCGAAGGCGCGATTTTTGGCCTGCAGGGGTGTCTTTCTTCTTTGAGATTTCGCCTTCACCGACCACCAATTTATTCAGAGTTTCGTAAACAGGCTTTGCGTGGGCACGGAAGTCATCTTCATTGTCTGCTCCATCCTTAGCGTGAAGGCGGTTGACAATGATTTTTAATGCCCATTCTTTAGCTTTAGTCTCATCATCAATTGTCTCCGACCAGTTGTATTCAGAGTCTGGTTCGGGTGTGCGGTTGGTGAGGAGGATTTGTTTGATGGCAATGGAAATGATAGCATCGCTTTCCTCGTCTGCTTCTCTCGGTGCAAGGAGGTTCAACTGCGACAGAGCAGCCAGGCGAGTGAGGAACCGATCAGATCCGTACGTCCAGTTCTCAACACACTTATGCACCAGATCCTTCGCATACATCTCTCTTCGATCAGCCGTCGCCATAAGAATTGAGACTGCATGTTTTGCAGAATGCGGCGATGAACTGTAAAGCGCATAGTTGGCCAGAGCCTGGAGGAACTTGCGCTCTTTGGGGAGTTTAGCCGGAAGCTTTTTAGCGAAACCAGCACAAGCCTTCAAAATGTCTTCAGCACTACTATCAGCGGCCGAGGAAGCCTTGGGAGCTTGAGCCTCGAGATCTTTACACATTTCTTGGACCTGTGCCTCTAGGACTTCGGGATTTTGAGATGAAATTTGCTTCAACATCTCCTGTGCAGCGTTGGCCAATCCATTCTCGTCTGTTCGGGACAAACTCATGATCGCCGGGATGTGGCTCCGGTTGAAGATCATGGACCCACAGCGATACACAAGAGGAGTTAAGGTTTCCAGTAGGGGAGAGTTGTTTGCACTCTGGACCCGCCGCTGGAGTTCTTTCATGGCCTTGACAACAGTGCGATAATCACTCACAGCAGCCATGGCGAAGCGAACCAGCTGGTAGCACCGCCGGTCATGCACCTTGGCGAACTTCCACAAGTCTGCCGATGCGCGCGAGGCGTCTGGGAAAGTTTTAGATAATGATTCAATGATCTTGGACAATTGTGTCTTAATCTGTTCCTCGTCCTTGTCGACAACACCACCATTGTACTTCTCACAGGCCTCTAGGTAAAGTGTCACTGCCGATCTCATCGACAACTGACGAGCCAACATAACGAAGAAGACTCGCCTGGCCTTTTCATCCAGCCCTCGGAGCAGGGTAAGAATCCGGCGGACGCGTATCTTGTCAACATCCGTCTCTTGCTCGGGTTCAGACGCCTGGCTACCCTTCTGCTTTTGTGATTGGTTCGAGTTGCCCCGAGAAAGTTTCGTTTTGATAGGGGGATAAGAAAGTGGCAAAAGCGTCTCAAACAAGACGCGATCGATCAGAACATGAATTTCTTGATCATTGGTATAGAAGGCATCAAATATCTTAGATGGCGCATCTTTGAGGAGGGACACGACAGGCTCCGTGTTTTGCTCGATGTCACCAGCAGCCACTGCCCACATGCGAGCCAAAATCTTCATAGCGTGTTCACGCACATGCGGTTTGCGATCCTTCACTCGCTCGGCAAGAATTGCAAGAACCGAGTCTGGTGATGAGCAACCACCATCCATGCTTAGCTTATGGACGATTTGGGAAAGCCCAAATTGCCCAACAGTATCAACTGCAGCAACGCGAACCTTCTCATCCACGTCACGAAGCATCGAGGCCAGATTTCTGACAAGACTATGTTCTTCGCTTTCGTGTAGGCCAGAGCCTCCAGCTGACGTTGAAAGAATCCGTCCCACAACAGTGACCCAGGCAGCACGGACTGATGGTGTCTTGTCGAGACGACGGCTCAAGAAGGCTTCATAGGCCGAGCTGTGGACCTGAGAGAAAGGCTTGGGGGACACGGGAGTCAACAAAACATTGGGCTGGGGAATGGTCTTGTCATAATCCAGTAGTGATACTGGCGGGTAGGTTGTCGGGTCCATGGGAGGAGGAGGTGGGGGACCTGCAACACCGATTCCGGCCGCAAGGTCTCCGATAGTCTGGGTCGCCAATAAACGTAGAGCCACTGA